ACAAAATGAGCTGAGGTCATTGCCTCAGATCACAGCAGGTGACCTGGGCCCAGGGGCAGGTGAGGGCCGTGAGGCCAGAGAGACGAACTGGGCAGAACACTTGCCTTGCACATACATGCCAACCAGTGTTTGATGCCAATTCCCTGAGCCCTGTCAGGAGTGAGCACTGGATGTGTCCCCCCCCCCCATAGAAAAAAAAGCAGGTAAGAGCTGTGGTGCAGCTCTGTGGCCGTGTCCCCAGGGAGCAGGAGGGACTGGATGGGAGAGGACAAGGTGGGGGTCAGAGCTCAGCTCCTTCCCACACTAACTCCCTCCTTGGGCCACACCCAAGAGTTGTGTTTGTTTCTAAACGCCATGAGAATTTAGAATGGTGGAGAACGGATGAAAGGAAGTGAGAAGGCGGACCATCGGCCAGGCTGGCCGTGCAAGAGGGCAGAATGGCTCCATGTTCTGAAGCTGATCAGCAGAATGGCGGAGATGTGGCTCAGAGGCTTAGGCAGGGTGACTTACGGGGCCCGAGCCGCTGGGTGGACAGTGAACTCAAACAGGACGGTGCCCTGCTCTGTGTGAATCTCATGAGTCTTGAGAGTCTGCTAGGGAGGTGGGGATGTGTAAGTCCGGGACTCAGTGATAGCAGTCAGTCCTGAGGTCTGAAGCCATTTGTGGCTGATGGTGAGTCTGGGATGCAGGAAAGCTCAGGCAGGCCCGGCAGAAGGTGGCAGGAAGCAATGGCTGACGGGGCCAGAGAGAGAGTACAGGAGTAGGACACTTGCCTTACATCCCAGGGACCCCATGTCTCCAGGTATCGCCTGTGGTTTACCACCCCCACCCCCAGCACCACCAGGGCTCACTCCTGAACACAGACCTAGGGACAGGTTCTGAGCACTGTCAGGCTGGCCCAAAACTCAAAAACAAAGGAAAACCCGAAAGCTTTGTAGCTGCTCTCACGGTGATTCAATAAATTATAAAAAACGAAAAAATAAAGTAAGGTGGAGTTCATGCACAATTCAATCAGCTAGTCAGTGGCTGAATAAATAGCAGTACTCCTACATAAAAATAAAATAAAGGAAAGGAAGTGCTAGAGAGACAGACAGTACAGGGGTATGGTGCTGGCCTTGCAGGCAGACAACCCGGGCACCACATATGGTCCTCTGGGCACCATCAGCAGTGATCCCTGATTGCAGAGCCAGGAGTAACCTCTAAGCACTGCCAAGTGTGGTCCAAACTCCCCTCCCCCTTAAAAAAAATCTGGTAGTACTACTCAGGGGTTAAAAGTGAAGCACTGGCAAGGAAGTGGACATGAGATGACCTTGACCAGATCATCCCAGCAGCGTGGTGGGGACACAAGGCAGGTATGAGGGGGCTGAAGACAAGTGGAGAGAGGCTGTGGAGACAGACGTGGACCGGCTCTGAAAAGCCACAGAGGAACAGGGATGGCTGTTCAAGGGAATCACTGCAGTCACTCGGGCCCCAAAAGTCACTCTGCCTCTGCCTCTGAGCCACATCTCCGCTGTTCAGCTGGTCGACTTTAGAACAGGGCGCCATTCTGCCCGCTTGCACGGCCAGCCTGGCCGATGGTCTGCCTTCTCACTTCCTTTCATCCTTTAACTGTAAAGGACCCAAGTGGATGAAAGGGAAAACAGAGGCTACAGGAGCCAGAGTGCATGATTTGCATGTGGGAGCCCCCGGTTCTATCCCAAACACCACCAGGTCCCTAAGCACTGAGCAAGGAATAGCCCTTGAGCGCCAGCGTGTGGGAGAGAGACGGAGAAGAGACTGGGAGGGACAGAGGAGGCTTGAGAGAGCTCCATCCCGACACTCCCACCCCATCCAGCCTTCCTCAGCGGGCAGCCCGCCTGCCGGGTTTCACCTTTCCCTCAACTCCTCCACCCAACCCTCAGTCTCACTCTTCACCTCAACCCCGAGAGATCAGAGGGGTCTGAGGCAAAGGCAGGAGCACTGTCTAGAGGGAGGGTCAGCCAGAGGGCAGAGTGGAAGGACTGTCCAGGGTGCCCATGACCCGCTCACCCCCATCCACACCCCCTCAGTGAGGGTCTCTGAGTCAGAGCCTGCAGGAGCTCCCGAGCCGAGTGGAGAGGGGACCCCCAGAGAAAGTGGCTGCCACCTGCTTGACCCCCAGACAGCCAGAGGGGGGCTGGGCAGGACTCATGAAGCCCCACTCCTGCACCCTGTGGTTCCTTAGCTACTCTCGCAAGGAAAGAACTTCCAGAGAAGACAGTGAAGTAAAATGGTTTTATTTAAGAAGTATGAGAGGAGAGAGAAGAAAAGGAAAACTCATTCCAGAGTGAGAAAGCCTTAAAGGCATTGCACACTGCAAGCTGGGAGCGCCAAATGGAGTGTAAGGAAGGAAGGAGGTACGCACTAAAGCTGAGGGGTGCAGGGGACTCAGAGGATGGAGTGTGCCCTGCTCACTTTGACAAAGGTAGATTCTCAGCGTTTTCTCCAGATGCCCCGACTGACTTGGGCGTCCAGTTTGGGGGGGGGGGGGGAGAGTCTGTGGCTCAGGCGCTGTCCCGAGGGGCTGGTGAAGGGGCCCCTGGATAGATCCTGACTTGCTCAGCCCTAGATTGCCTCTCACCCCTAGGCGGGCCCGGGGCTCCCGAATCTTCCTTTGGTTTTAGCTTTTTGAGATTCACCCCAAGTCCTCGCGGCTCCCCCGACACACACACACACACACACACACACACACACACACACACACACACACTCACACCAGCTCGCCTGTTCCGGGGGACGCTGGATGTCTCCCACCGCGTCTCGTGAAGTCGTGGCGATCAGAAGACAGTCCCATGTGCCAAGCAGATCACCCCTTGGAGATACTCACTTCTCAGGCAAGGCGGGGACAGCCCTGTGCCCAGCTCCCCCAAAGCACCCCCTGCTTGCCTCCCCCTGGTCTGGGGACCTGGCGGAGGGCTCCCCCGACCCCGAGCGGGAGGCGGGCTGGGGGCGGGGGGTGCCGATGCTAAAATCCGCACCGTCCGAACGCGGAAGGAGGAGGTGCGGGGTTAACCGCAGCCAACGGACGGAGTTCCTGGGGCAAGTGGGGCGGCGGGGCGCCGGACAGCCTCGCTGCGAAGCCCCGGGGCGCAGCAGACGTGCTGGGTTCGGGGGTGGGGGGGGGAACCTATCGGAGCGCGCGCCCCGCAGCCGCGCTCGCACGAACCCCCGCGCGCAGGACGCGCACGCTCGTCCCGAAGCAAAGGCAGGAGGCGCCGGGGTGGGGTGGGGGCGGCTCGGCCCCGGGACCGCCGACTCGGGGGCGGGAAAGCAGCCGAGAGCCCAGACCCGGACGCCGGGGAAGGTGAGGGAGGGCGCGAGGCGCCTGGAGCGCGCGGGAGGGCAGCGCCGGGGGACGCGCGCCCGCCCGTCTAGTTAGTCGGGGCGCGCTTCCTGGAGGAGGAGGAGAAGGAGGAGGCTTTACCGCCCCAGCGGCCGGGATGAATGGAGGGGGCGGGGCGGCGGCGGGTGGGGCGCGGCACGGGCCCCCCTACGGAGGGGAGGGGCGGGGGCCGCCGCGCTTAAATCCGCCGCGGGGACGCCCTCCCCGCACCCGCTGCCGCGCCGGACTCCCTGCTCCGCGGACCGCCCGATTTCTTGCCCGAAACTTGCCCGCCCCGGCGGCTGGGCCGGGCGACCCCGGAGCCGCGCGGCGTCCACCGGCCGGGGCCCGTGGCCGCGGGTGAGCGCGCGTTGGGGGGGAAGGGGCGGGCGCCGGGACCCCGCCCTCGGCGCGGGGCGGGGCGGGGCGCGGCGAAGCGGGGCACTAGGACCCAGGTGCGGCGCGGGGGTGTGTCGCCCGCTCCCGCCGCGGGCTCGCCCGAGCCCAGTCCGGAGTTCGGGGGCGCGGGCGACGCGGCGGCCGTCGGGGGGCTCGAGGTGCGGGCGGGCTGCGGCGGGCGCGGGACCCCGCGGGCTTCCCCCGGGCCGAGCCGGGCCGCGCGAGCCCGCGGGCGTCCGGGTGGGGACCAGGGCGCGGCTGCACGCGGGGCTCGGGCGCACCCGGGAGCCCCGCGCGAGTGGGCGACCGGACCCGGGGATCCCGGGCGCCCGGGGGAGCATGGCTCGCGGCCGCCGCGTGCGGACGTCCGGCCCCGGGCCTTGCGCGTGGGGTGGGGGGTGTCCCTGCGGGCCGTGGGGGGCGGCTCCGGGGCTCTCCCCGCACGCCGCGCCGCCGCCGCCGCATCTTTTCCTCGCGATTCTCGACACCTGAGGGCCTGCCCGGGGCTGGGAGCCCGGCGTGCCTGCACGTGGGCGCCCCGGGTGGGCGGGGAGCGGGCGCCCGGCCCGGCCCGGCCCGCGAACTCTGCTTCCAGCCCGCCCCGGAGCGCGCTTCTCTGCCGCCCCCCCCCCCCCGCCGTTCCGGGTGCATCCCACCCACCCCGGCCAGCACCCCTCCACCTCCAACCCGCCGACCCGCGCTTTTCTCGGGGTGGGGGGGCCCAGACAGCCCTAACCATGGGTGGGAGCGGGCTCTAGAGAGCGCCCAGCCCCCTCCCCTCCTCCCACCCCTATTTCCCCCGAGGACGAGGCGCCTCCCAGGAGTCCAAGGACGTGGGTGGCGCGGAGTGGCTGGGGCCCCCCGGTTGCCTGAGCTGACCCCAGGCTCGCCAGACTGGCTCGCGTGATGGTGTTGCTGCCCGGATGAGAGGGGCGGCGGGCTGGGCAGAGGACTCCGCACCTGGGGGACCTGTGCAGAGGGATGGGGAGCTGGGGGTCGGCTTTCTGCTCTCCCGGGGAGCTGAGACCCGCCCTCCTTGTCTGTCTTGCTCTGGGCCTGGTACTGCCAACAGCCATTCTCCTGGCTGGCGCTGCTAATAGCTCTGGAGAGGGAAACGGGTCTCGCGTTGTTTCCCTGCCTCTCTGCCCTGCTCTTCCCTTTCCCACCGGGGCAGCCCCCTCGCAGCTGCACTAAGGAAGACCCTGCCTCCCACGGGGCCTCTCCTGGTCCCTGACAGGGGTGCGGGGAAGGGTAAGAGATCATCAGCGGGACTGTCTTGGGCACCCACACTGCCTGCAGAGCTGGTAACACCTCTTTGCTTTTCTTGCAGGAAACTTCATCATGCCCCAGAATGGATTCTCGGAGGGGGCCGGTAAGTGCTGTGGAGACATGAATGGGCCTCCTAGGTCCGTCCGCGGTGGGGGGGCTGGGGCCCAAGAGACGTTCAATGGGTGCATGTGGGAGGCCTGGCGTGGCTTTGTCCCTGAGCAGTGAGCCAGGAGTAGCTCCTGAGTACCCCAGGTGTGGCTCTCAGGAATCCCGCTCCCCCGCCACCTGGTCCGGGGTCATTGGCCACCTTCTGTGGTCCTCTGCAGGTGTAGGATGCCTTTGGAGCCTGCCCCCTCCCCTGGCTGGGGGTGGGGGGTCTGTCCCCCTCCCGCCTATGGTATCATCCGGGGAGCTGGCGCTCACCTTTCCGGCGCGCTGACTCTGAGCCTCAGTTGGCTGAGTGTGAGGATGATGCCCACATTCCTCGCCTCCTGCCAGCCTGCGAGGGAGGGGCTGCCCTGGGAGCCCCGGAACCTCCCAGGGAGCTTCCCTGCCCTCCCGCCCTGCCTGAGCAGCAGCGGGGTGTTTCATGGGAAAGTGCTTGGATAACAGCAGCACGTGCCCCTCCCTGGGGCATGGCGTGCCAGGCTGCGGGCGGGCCGGCTGGTTAGGAATGTGGCAGCACGCTCAGATGGGCCGCACTCTAGGCCTGGCATCCCCAGAGATTTGTGGGGACCCAGAGTGGCAGCTGGGCAGTTCCTAGGGAGAAGCCAAGGCTGTGCACTCAGAGGAATAGTGGGTGCAGGTAGGCGTGACCTGAGAGTCTGGAGTAGACTGGCACTCTGGGTGGGGGTGGGGGTGGGGTGGGGGGGCCAGAGAGGAGAAGCAAAGCATGCATGGAGTTGGGAGGAACCGAGGGTTTGCATACACAGGGAAACGAGGCTGAGGAGGCAGCTCCGAGGTGGGTGCTCACCTTGAAGGCCCCAGGTTTGATGCCCTGCATGTGCTGGTGGCGTGGGCTGGGGAGGGGGTCCTGAGGGACATCCCCCGGCCTTCCAGCACTTCACTGGGCTCCATGCTGGTAACACTGAGCGGAAGCCAGTGTCCTGAGGGACTAGGACAGCATAGGACATCGGGGGGCAGCCCCGGGAGGTGCAGAGGAAACTGGTGGCCCGAGTGGAAGTGAGTCAGGGTGAGTCACTGCCTGACAGGTGCGGGGCCGTGCAGGCCTCCTGCACAGGTATTGGTCGCGCATGGTGGGGTCCAGGCCCCCTTTCCTGAAGCATCCATAAACCGGGAGCCTGAGTGGACCCCACAGGACAGTCAGGAAGCAGCTGCACCCTCAGAGGGAGGCACCATCTAGGCAGGAGCCTATGGAAGGTTCTGTGAGGGGAGCCCTGGGCTTGGAAGGAAGAGCTGGCCTGCCTGAGGAGCACAAGAGCCAGGTGGGGAGTGGGCCTCAGGCCACTGGGGGTCAGGACGGGAGCCCCAACGCTGCCTGAATTTGACCCTCAAGGCTGCAGAGGGCTCAGGAAGGTGGGAGAATTGCCTGACATCTGGAAGCCTGACTGAGTGGAGGAGGGGTACCAGAACTGAGAGGCAGTTCTGGAGAAAGAGGTGCACACCAAGGGTGGCAGGGGGAGGCATGTGCAAAACCTTTGTCCCACCCTGGCACTACGTGTCCTCCCCCTGCACTGCCAGACCAAACCCTGACCCTGCGGCTGCTGGGCTTGGGGCATTTGGTCTAGCAAAAGGGGCCACATGTTTGGGTGTCTCAAGACCACCTTCTGGGGGTCCCTACTAGAAGACTCTGGCTTCTGTTGACTCTAAATTATTGAACCAAGCAGGTCATGGTCACATAATCTGGGGTTCTGGGGGGCAGCTGGGCAGTCTTACTGCTTCAGTCCCTGCATGCCTGGCCCAGAGTTAGTGGAATGAACGAATGCATTTTCCTCTGACTGGAGGATAGAGGGTTATGGGGGGCAAGGGCAGGCAGGGCTTAGTTCCTGTTGCAAAAGGATACATACGGGAGGGAGTTGGGGGATGGCTGGCCCCGCCCTGCCCTCTCCTGGGTAGCCCTGGCCACTGACCAAGCCCTCACTTCTCGGGGGTGGTGGATGTCCAGGCTACCTCAAGTGTGACACAGATGATGCCTCGGAGACCCGGGAGGAGAGCCTGGGAGATGAGGTCTTCGACACGGTCAATTCGTCCATTGTGTCAGCTGAGAGTGTCCGCTTCTTTGTGAATGTGAACCTGGACGTGCAGCCTGGCCAGGCGGGTATGAGCCTTGTGGGTCTGAAAGGGGATGTGGTTGGGGCCTAAAGCGGAGTGGGAGGGGCCATACAGCATGGCCGAGGGAGTGGGTGGGGTCATGTGGACCTGGAGGGGGGGAATGGGCGGGACCATGCAGGCATTGGTGGAAGGAATGGGCGGGGCCATGTGGACCTGGAGGGTGGGTTTGGGGCATTGGGAGGGGACAGGGGGCTGCAGGTATGGAGGGCAGACCAGAGGCACAGGAGATCCAGGAGACCTTTTCTCCAGGTGAGAGCGAAAGCCCTGGAGACTGCGGGCTCCTCTACACTTCTCGTAAGGTCAGTGGAGGGGGTGGGAACTGGGCCATCCCTCCGGGGGGCCAGGGATTTTTCTGGAGGGGGGCACGGGAGGTTAAGGAAAACCTGCAGCCCTCGGGCCGGCCGCGAGAGGGGAGCACCAGCGGGCGGCGTCTCTGCACAGTACATGAAGGTCAAGAACTTCGAGGAGGAGATCCGAGCACACCGCGACCTGGACGGCTTCCTGGCGCGGGCCAGCATCATCCTGCAGGAGACGGCCACGTCGCTGGACGACGTGCTGCGGGCCATGCTGCACCGCCTGGCGCACGACCGCGGCAGCCCCGAGCCGCCCTGCAGCCTGGACCAGCTCATGTCCAGGCTCTTCACCGATGTCGAGGCCCCCATGGGGGGCAAGGGTAAGGCCTGTGCCACGACCCTGGAAGACGTGTGTGTCTGTGTGTGTGTGTGGTGTGGTGCGGTGCTTCTCACCTTCTCCCCACTCTGTCCTCAGTCCACCTGCTATTGGACATCATCCAAGGGGTCACAGCTACAGTCACGGGGGTGCAGTACCAGCAGTCGTGGCTCTGCATCATGTGAGTTGCCTGCCTACAGCCCCCTCCCTCCCATGTTAACTGGATTCTGTGTGCCGGCAGAGGGGCTGAGCACCCCCTCCCGGTGGTCAGGTGGCAGCCTGCGTTCTGTGTCCCCCACAGCTGCACCTCCAAGGCCCTGCTGAAGCGGTACGTGTGCATCAGCCGCCTGGTGCGCCCGCAGAACTGGGGGGAGAACTCGTGCGAGGTGCGCTTTGTCATCCTGGTGCTCACCCCGCCCAAGATGGTGAGGATCGCCCTGCCCTCTGAGCCCCTCTTCCAGGCTGGCCCGGTGCGGCCCCCTCGTCCATTTCATCCGGTCCCTCAGTGCCGCCCCCGCTTCCCCTTGCCCACAAACCTGCACCTGGTTCACCAGAGGCATCTGGCAGCCACAGAGGGTCCTGAAAGGTTTACTCTTTTCTTCCTTCCTTCCTTCCCTCCCACCCTCCCTCCCTGTCTGTTTTATTTAGTTTTGCTCTTCGGGCCACACCTGGCAGTACTCAGGGGTTACTCCTGGCTCTGCCCTTGTGGTGGGCAGGGATTGAATCCTCTTCCACCTAATGGATTAGGCTGGACCTAATCCTCCAGCCTATTAGTTTCAGTAATGACTAATTACTTTCAGCAAATGCCCTGCCCTACCTGCAGGCATTATTGCTCCACTGACTTGGTTTTGTTTGTTTATTTGTTTGTTTGTTTCTTTCCTCCTTTCTTTCCTTCTTTCTGTGTTTTTCTTTCTCTGACTCTTTCTCTGTCTTTATCTCCTTCTTTCTTCTGTTTTATCTCTGTTCTCTTCACACATAGCCGAGCTCAGGGTCTACTGACTGTGCGTGGGGGTCGCTCAAGGACCCATGTGGTGCCAGGGATGTGGGGTGGAGCACGGGGCCCCACATGCTGCAGGACAACAGTCATCCTGGTGATCTGGCTCTCCAGTGCACATCTTTTCATTCTGGCTATATTATTTATTGTTATTGAAGTATCATTGATACAAAACTATTAGTTTCAGTAGCACTGCACTTCCCATGGTTCATCGATTTGCCCAAGCGGGCCCAGTAACATCTCCATTGTGATACTTGTTGTTACTGTGTTTGGCATATCAAATACGTCACGGGGAGCTTGCCAGGCTTTGCCGTGCGGGCAAGATACTCTCAGTAGGTTGCCGAGAGTATCTTGCCGGGCTCTTCGAGAGGAGCAGAGGAATCAAACCCCGCTCGGTCAGGCTGGCCGCACGCAAGGCGAATGTCCTACTGCTGTGCTATCGCTCCAGCCTATTAGTTTCAGTAATGACTAAATATTTGCTTTTGTTTTTCTTGTTGTTTTGGGGGCCACACGTGGTGGTGCTCAGGGCTTACGCCTGGCTCTGCACTCAGCGATCACTCCTGGCAGGGCTCAGGGGTACCATACGGGGTGTTGGGTATTGAGCCCAGGTCGGCCATGTAGGCAAGCTCCCGACACACTGTACAATCTCTACAGCCCCATAATTCAGTATTAGTGGCTACTGGGAAATGATCTAGATAATAATAATACTCTGGAGAACCTGGCAGTCTACCAAAAGTATCCTGCCCACACAGCAGAGTCTGGCAAACTCCCTGTGGCGTATTCAATACGCCAAAAACTAGTAACAATGATGGGTCTCGTTCTCCTGACCTGAAAGAGCCTCGAATGTGGCACTTTTTAAATCTCAGGGCTAGGATGAAGGAGACGTTACTGGGGCTTGCTCGAGGCAATCGATGAACAACAGGATGACAGTGATACAGTGATACAGTGGGAAATGATCACCTAACAATGGGCCTAGTGTCCCCACACCACATAAACACACTTTTGATGAGAACTTTCTCCTTTTTGGGGGGAGTAGGGTGTGTTTGGGCCTCACCCCACTGTGCCTATTCCACTGTGCCTATTTCTGTTCTGTGCTCAGTAATGACCCCTGGTGGTGCTCAGGGCTCCTGACTCTGCTCAGAAATCACTCCTGGCTGGATTCCGGGGACCATCTGTGGTGCCTGGGATCAAACCGAGGTTGGCTGCATGCAAGGCAGATGTCCTTGTACACTGGATTCTAGGGCTAACCCCTCACCTTGACTTTCACCTTCACACATATTGCCCATTCCTTTACCTGCCACTTGACAGCCTCCAATTTTACATCATTATTACTATTATTATTATTATTATTGTGGTTTATGAGCCACACTTAACAAGTCTCAAAATGGAGATGTTACTGGTGCCCGCTCGAGCAAATCAATGAACAATGGGAGCACAGTGCCACAGCACCATGAGCCACCCCAGGCAGTGCTCAGGGTTTATTTCTGGCTCTATGCTCAAAGATCACTCTTAATGGGGCTCAGGGGACCATGTGGAATGTCGGGAACCCTGGCTGGCCTTGTGCAAGGCAAGAGCCCTACCTGCTCTGCCATAACTCTAACCCTCTTTCCCCTGTCTTCCAGCTGGTTTGTTTGGGGGGGCCACACCCAGCAGCTCTGAGACTACTTGCTGTGTATTGCTTGGGGGCGGGGGGGGGGCTGTCACTCCTACTGATGCTAGGGTGGGGGAAACTGCAGTTCCGGGGATCAGAGCTGGCCGGGCCTCCCGCATGCACAACGTGTGCTCAGCCCACTAAGTGTCTCCCCAACCCCTTATCTCCCGAGTTCATGAGGAGAACCCCTCGTGACCTACCAACCTGGTCGAAACTGAGCCAGGGGACCACAAACCCTGGTACTTTTAGGTACCTACCTACCTTCCTACTCTGCTCTCCATTCCTGGGGAGAGCACCTGCCATGTGCTGGGGAGGGCACCCCCCTGCTCCCCAGGGCTACAGACCTGATTTCTTCACCCACCCCTGTCCCCCTCCAGAAAAGCACCAAGACTGCCCTGGAGGTGGGGCGCACGTTCGCCACCATGTTCCTGGACATCACCTTCCGCCAGAAGCTGCTGCAGACCCGCACGGAGGAGGAATTCAAGGAGGCCCTGGTACATCAGAGACACCTGCTGAGCAGGATGCACCCGGGCCAGGTGGCACCTGCCTTCAAAAGCTCTGTTTCTGTCCTGAGACCCCTGCAGGTGCAGATGAGTCGGGGTGCCGGGCTGGGGGCCTTGGAGGAGCGGGGCTGGGACCGCCTGCCAGCCCAGCTCATCCTGCTCCTCCTTTTCCTTCCCAGCCTCCAAAGTGCAAGGACTTTCTTGCACTGGGCAAGGGCATCCGGAAGGACATCGCCCACAGGCTCCCCCTGTACCCGCTGGACTTCACTGATGGTATGTGGCCACCCCTCCGCAAGTTCAACCTGTAACTTGGGCGGGCCACAGGACATGCAGGACACTGGGTCTGTCCCACGGGCCTCAGCCCCACCCCTGCCCCCTTCCTAGGCATCATCGGGAAGAACAAAGCCGTGGGCAAGTACATCACCACCACCCTGTTTCTCTACTTTGCCTGCCTCTTGCCCACCATTGCTTTCGGCTCCCTCAACGACGAGAACACCAACGGGGCCATCGGTAAGGGGCTGGGGATGGGGGGGGGGGTGGGGGCACAGCAGGGAGTGGCCAGGCCATGGTCCCTGCCTGACCCACCTCTCCACAGATGTGCAGAAGACCGTCGCTGGGCAAAGCATTGGGGGCCTCTTGTATGCGCTGTTCTCCGGGCAGCCGCTGGTGGTGCTGCTGACCACTGGGCCGCTGGCCCTCTACATCCAAGGTACAGTGATGGGGTGGGCAAGGGGCACCCCTAGTCTCCCCCCAGCCTCCCTCCTGCCCCCCCCACTGACGGCCCTGTCCTCACCCGCCACCTGCAGTGATCCGGGGCATCTGCGATGACTACAGCCTGGATTTCGGCGCCTTCTACGCATGGACGGGCCTGTGGAACAGCATCTTCCTCGCACTCTATGCACTCTGCAACCTCAGCCTGCTCATGAGTCTTTTCAAGAGGTGACGCTGACGGGCCTGCTGGGGGAGCGAGGTTGGCCTCCGAGGCACTCTTCGAGAGCTGATGGGGTGTCTCCCTGGCCCTGGTTCACCGTGTGGCAGGAAGTGGGCTCGGGTTGGGGCCAGGAGGGAGGGCAGAGGCCCCAGGAAGCCTTCCCGCACCCCCCTGGCACCCACAGCTCATGAGGTGCATTCACTGCTCACACCCAGGTCCACAGAGGAAATCATCGCCCTGTTCATTTCCATCACCTTCGTGCTGGATGCAGTCAAGGGCATGGTTAAAAGTGAGTGTAAGCACGGCTAGTGTGTACTATCCCTTGGCTTTCCTTTTTGGTGGGGAAGCCGAGTAGATGGGGTGCTGGGAGCTGTATCTGCGGAGGCCAGGAATTATTCGAGCTCAGGCTGCTCCCATGATCCCAGAGAGTTTGGGAGAGCCATGTCAGATAGGACAGCAGCCTCAGGTATCCAGGGGACAGGGCTGTCTTATTAGGTGTCCAGGCTCCAGGCCTGGAAGGATGCACTGTCCTCGATGAAAAGGGGTAAGGAGGGGCCGGAGCGACAGCACAGCGGGTAGGGCGTTTGCCTTGCACGCGGTCAACGCGGGTTCGATCCCCGGCATCCCATATGGTCCCCCAAGCACTGCCAGGAGTAATTCCTGAGTGCAGAGCCAGGAGTGACCCCCCTGAGCATTGCTGGGTGTGACCCAAAAAGGAAAAAAAGAAAAGGGGTAGGGAGTTGGCTCAGGGCCCCTGCATTGCATGGGCCCCCTGCCAGCACTGCCTGAGCTGATCACCCCTGTATCTGATCCAAAAACAAAATAGGACTGGAGAGATAGTACGGTAAGCTACAGTGGGTCTTGCATGGGGTTGACCCCAGTTCAATCCCCAGCACCCCAGGTGGTCCCCTGAGCCCTGTCACGAGTGTTCCCTGAGCACTGCTGGATGTGGTCCAAAAAGACTGAAAAAATTTTGAAAATAGGCCAGAGCAGGAGTGATCCCTGAGTGCAGAGCCAGGAGTAACCCCTGAGCACTGCTGGATATACCCCCCGCCTACCCCCCTCAAAAAAAAAAAAAAAACAACAAAACTCAGAAACAAAAACCAGAACAGGGGGAACAAGCAGGGGTCAGGGGATGGTGGATGGACAGAGAGATCAAGGGGGTCATTGCTCCTGATGGTCCTTGCCCCTGGGAGCCTATTTCCCCCCTCAGGGCCCCTCTACCTGCCCACAGGTGAGTGCTGGCCCTAGATAACAGCCCCATGGGCCTCTCTCCAGTCTTCCAGAAGTACTACTATAGCCACCACACTGCAGACCAGCAAGGGGCCAGCGCTCCCCTGGAGAGCCTGCTGGGCCTCAACTCCAGCCTGCACGCAGCCCTCAACACCAGCCTCATGGCCAGCCCCGCGGAGCTGCTCCCGGAGACCACTCACACGGATCACCCAGGCCGGGAGACGGCCGTGTTCAGCCTTCTCATCATGCTGGGCACGCTCTGGCTGGGCTACACCCTCTATCAGTTCAAGAAGAGGTGAGGGGGGCCGCGAGAGCAGAGAGGGGGGCATGAGCTCCCCCCCTTGCCTGCAGCCAAGCTGACATGCCCGTATGCCTTCCCAGTCCCTATCTGCACCCTACCATGCGTGAGGTCCTGTCTGACTGCGCCCTTCCCATCTCCGTGCTCACCTTCTCTCTCATCAGCTCCTACGGCTTCCCGGAAATCAAGAGTGAGTCGGGGGCCCCAAGAGAGTGGCCAGGGGTGAAGTTGCTGGCCTTGCATGCAACCCATCCTCATATTCCCCCTCCATCCCCCCTCCCCCAGCCAGGGGTAGCCTTGATCTACATGCAGCTGCTCCTGAGCACTGAGCCAGGAGTAGCCCCTGAGCACCACAGGGTATGGTTCCACCCACCCCCCCTCAGGTGGAACTGGCAGGACTGGGCTGGCCTGGCCTGGCCTGGGCTCCCAGGGGCCTGTGGGCTGCTGGAGCAGGGCCTGTTTCCTGCTACAGTGGGCAAGTTCCGCTACAACCCCAGCGAGAGCTGGTTTGAGATGGCCAAGGTGGAGTCGCTGTCCCTGGGGGCCATCGTCAGCGCCATGGGCCTCGGTTTCCTACTATCCCTGCTCTTCTTCATGGAGCAAAACCTGGTGGCCGCTTTAGCCAACGCCCCTGAGAACAGGTTTGTAGACAGGGAGGGTTGCGAGGCCGGGGGCTTGGCCCGGGGCCTCTCGGCTGGTGCCCACGAATCCGGGTTCTGCGCAGGCTCGTGAAGGGCACCGCCTACCACTGGGACCTCCTGCTCGTGGCCATCATCAACATGGGGCTGTCGCTCTTCGGGCTGCCCTGGATCCACGCCGCCTACCCGCACTCCCCGCTGCACGTGCGCGCGCTGGCGCTGGTGGAGGAGCGGGTGGAGAACGGGCACATCTATGAGACGTGAGTGTGCCCGAGCCAGGGTGGGCTGGGGCGGGGCAGCCCCGGGCCCCCGGTGAAGCTCGCGTCTGGGTCCACGCAGGATCGTGAGCGTGAAGGAGACGCGGCTGACCACGCTGGGCGCCAGCGTGCTGGTGGGCTTCTCCCTGCTGCTGCTGCCCTTCCCGCTGCAGTGGATCCCCAAGCCAGTGCTCTACGGTCTCTTCCTCTACATCGCGCTCACCTCCATCGATGGCAACCAGCTGGTGGAGCGCTTGGCGCTGCTGCTCAAGGAGCAGGTGGGGGGCGGGGCCATAGGGACGGGGCGGGGCCATAGGGAATGGGGTGGGGCCATAAGGGATAAGGGCAAGGTAATAGGGAGCGGGGCGTGGTCCTAGAGGGTGGGGGCGGGGCCACATGGCTGGGGGCGTGGTCCTAGAGGGTGGGGGCGGGGCCACATGGCTGGGGGCGTGGTCAATGTCCCACCTTGATCCCTGCCTCCTGCCCACAGACTGCCTACCCGCCCAGCCACTATATCCGGCGCGTGCCGCAGCGTCAAATCCACTATTTCACGGGGCTGCAGGCCCTGCAGCTGCTGCTGCTCTGCGCCTTCGGCATGAGTCCACTGCCCTACATGAAAATGATCTTTCCCGTCATCATGATCGCCATGATCCCCATCCGGTACCTGCAGCTTCTGGCGGTGGGGCAGTGGGTAGGCTGGTAGGGGCCGGGCGGGGGTGCCCTCTGCCTTCTCTCTGACCCAGCGCTCATCTCCCCAACCAGCTACAACCTGCTGCCCCAGATCATTGAAGCCAAATACTTGGACGCCATGGATGCCGAGCACTGAGCACCGAGCTGAGCACCAGGCCCCGGCAGCCACCCTTTCCCCAGTCCAGCTCTTCCCAGGCTGGCACTGTGGCGCAGTGGGGAGGCATGGATGTCCTTCGGGTGTTGCTCAGTGCTGCATCACCACCCCCAGTTGCCCCAGCAGCCTCCGGGGTTGTCTGAGCATTTGGGGGGTCCAGTGGCATGTGCCTGCTCCTGTTTGCTGTTGTTTTGGGACCACACTCGGTGATGCTTGGGGACTGTCACTCCTGGCTTTTAAGCTTGGGGGTCACTCCCAGAGGTGCCAGGGTGTGGATGGCCGTGTGGTGCCAGGGACCAGAGGGTCCAAGGCATGCAAGGCCAGCATCTTAACCCCTGCTGTCTTGTGCCCCCTGCCCCCCACATTGGCCTTCAGCTTTGGGTCCTGAACACTGCTCAGGGCAGCTTTGCCCAGGGTAGGAACAAACAGGATGGATTTTCTTTTGATAAAAGAGTCGGATGCCTGAAAGAGAAAGCATTTCCTTGATTGTATAAGGAACTCTGGGTGCACTGTAGGGAATAAAGCCGTTCTGTTACCTATGCTGCTGCTTCCTTGTCTCTGAATGTCCCCCTCCCTGTCCACCAGTCTGTGAAGGCTCCTGAGGGGAAATCCTCCCAGGGGAAGTGGAATCAAAGGGCCCCTGCTGAGTGTCACCTGTCAGCTGTCATCTCCACCCACCCCAGGTGGATGTAGGCTGGGGGTGAGGGGGTGGCTACAAGGCAAGGTTTGGAAAGTCTAGCAAAGGAGCCCCTGAGGCAGGGGTGGGGCGGGGGGGGGGGAGGGGTGGTTGTGAAGTGGGATGGTTATCTATGTGGGAGAATCCCCACCTCTCAGGAAGTTGCAGAGCCTGCCAAGGAGAGGGGACAGGCTCCTGGGGCGGAGAACAGTACAGCACATAGCTCACTTGCATTGCATCCAGCTGATCTACCCAGCACCACATGAGCCCCGAGCCTGAATGGTCTCTGATCACAGAGCCAGGAGAAAGCCTCGAGTACTGCTGGGTGTGGTACAAAAACCAAAATAGAAAATAAATCACGACCTCCAGTTTTTGTTGTTGTGACCTCCAGTTTTTGTTGTTGTTGTGTTGCCAGGGACGTAACCCCACCCGGCAAGGCCTGTGGCTGCAAAGCTGAGCCCCCTCCCCAGCACCCAACAGTACCAAGACGCAGGTGGCATGGGCATAGCGTGGGCTGGGCAGGAATGGGGTACTGCGGCCAGAGGGAAGTGGGGAAGCACCCAGGTGCTGGGGGACGAGGGGGTGGAGAGAAGGACATCCCATATGTCTCGCTCAGTCACCTGGCCAGAGTCCATGACAGTGGCAGCAGGCAGTCTCAATGTGGGGTTTAGGGGCGCACCCCTATGACCATGTGGGGCAGCAGCCATGGTAGCCGGAGCACCTGCCTCCAGAGATAAGTCACCCCAAAACATCACCTTTAAAGTATTGGCAAAAGCCCTGGAGACCAAAGTAGCAGAGAAACTTGCCACATCTAAAATGAAAAGGGGAGGGGCTGGAGCCATAGCACACCGGGTAGGGCGTTTGCCTTGCACCTGGCTGACCCCAGGTTCGATTCCCAGCATCCCATATGGTCCCCCAAGCACCGCCAGGAGTGATTCCTGAGTGCAGAGCCAGGAGTAACCCCTGAGCGTCACCAGGTGTAACCCAAAAAGCAAAAAGAGAGAAAAGGGGAGGGAAAGCTAGAGTTCCTTGAGTTCTAGAGACTACCAGACAGAATCCCAAACCAACACGAGACAGGCTTGTGTTGGGGAGGCGGGGTGAGAGGCCCAAACCCTCAGCCCTATGAGAAGGGTTCTGGAACCTGCCCCTGGAGCACTGACTGGGAAGGAGGCTGGGGTCCCACCAAGACACCCACCATCGGCACGTGTACTCCCAGATGGGTGGGCACCCACCCAGGCGGCCTGTGATCTTCGGGGCTCCCCTGCCTAGCAGCTGGGGTGTTTCCTGCAGACTGAGTCAGATCCAGAATCTCCAGGAAGGCGCCGACACCCCGAGGCTGAGCCCCAGCCAGACACCAGGCGGGAGACGGAGGTGACAACTTCTGGAGGGTGGCCACCACCGTACTTCCTGGAACCCCCAGCGGGGAGAGGGGGTGTGGGGGCCTCACACCCCGTAGGGAGCTACACCGCTCACCCACATGGACTCAGGATCCACAGGAGAGAGGAAACGGAGCTGCCAAGGGCAGCCAGAGGACATGGCTCCCACCCCCCAACACACCCAATGGGGACTCCGGGGTGGGGCGACACGGCCTGGCCGGACAATAAACTTCAGGAAGGACCTGGGAGCACCCAGGGCCTCAGACAGGGGCGCCCGAGAAACCGGCCCAGGCTCATTCGGGGCCAACTGTGGCATGTCAAGGCAGCAGGGGTCAGGGCACTGTCCCCTCAACACAGATGCGACCTTGGCCTCAAGACCATCAAGCAACAGCTGAGCCGAGTCTAGCCCAGCCCACCAGTTGAAACCCAGGAGGCCAGCTGGGTGGGGACATCGCAGTGGTGGTGGAGGTGGTGGTGGGTGCCTGGGCGGAGACTACAGCCACGATCTCAGACTTGAACAGGAGAGCAGTGATATTTCAGCACCCCAACCCCCACCCCCTCGCCCCCCACAACCCTGACCTTGGGCTTCCTGCACTGCCCCAGGGGACTCAGGAGACAGACAGGCACCACAGGGGACAGGTGACAGAGAGGACAGATCCGGCTGATTCTGGAAGCAAGCGTCTTTCTTTCAGGCTTTTTATTTGTGGCATTTCAAAAACATCCAAGGTGTCTGTCTGTGCGCTGCTTCCTCAAATGTGCAGAGTCTGCCCTGGGGCTCCATGTCCCAGGCCCTTGCGAGCGAGCACCAGGCCCTTGTGGGACCCCGGGCCTGGGGGCTGGCTGCTGAGCCAGAGAACAGGAACACTTGCCCCAAGTGCCCTCCATGCCCAGCACACCGGCCTCACCGTCCAAAGGGGCGTGGGGGCAGCAGTCTCCACTCTCCACTCCCCTGAGGAAAGTCCCCGCCGGCAGGTGTTAGTCCAGCGGAGGTGGCCAGGCTAGCTATCCCCAGACCCTTGGCCGGCCTGGGCATTGCCACCCCCAGGGCAAGTCAGTCGGCAGAAGTAGTCCTGCAGCTCATGCAGCGCCCGGAAGCGGTGGGAGATGCTGTTCTTCTCCGCCTTGGGCATCTCTGCGTACCTATGGGGGAACAGCACAGGTGGAGGGAAGCCCAGGACCCAGCCCGGGTCAGGAGCCCAGAGCCCACTGGGAAACACCCGAGACAGTACTCTGAAAACACAGATAATCTTGTTTGGTTTGGGGGTTTTTCTTTGTGTGTGTGTGTTTGTGTGTGTCTGTGTACCAGACCCAGAGATGCTCAATGCTTGCTCCTGGCTCTGCACTCAGGGATCACTCCTGGTGGACTCAAGGGACCATATGGGGTGCCAGGGATGGAGACAGAACCCAAAACAAACACATTCCCCACTATACTATGGCTCCACCCCCCAAACCAGATAATCCTTTTTTTTTTTTTTTTTGCTTTTTGGGTCACACCCAGCGATGCTCAGGGGTTATTCCTGGCTCTGCACTCAGGAATTATTCCTGGCGGTGCTTGGGGGACCATATGGGATGCCGGGGATTGAACCCAGGTCGGCCGCGTGCAAGGCAAATGCCCTACCCGCTGTGCTATCGCTCTGGCCCCAGAAACCAGATAATCTTTAAAAATAAAACACAAGGGTCAAGGCGGGGGCACTCCGAGGGGGAGAGTGGTGCTGGAAGGTTGTAGGCATGAAACCCTGCTATGAGTAGAATTCTCATGCTCGGTGCCTAAAATTAAGACAATCACAAGTGCAGTGAAGACGAAAACGAGGGCCTACAATTCCCACGTGAGCCGAAACCCGCGCGGGTGAGTGTTCGAGGGCACGGGACTGTCCTTCCCGAGTGCCCCACGCGCACGGCTCCCTGTTGGGTCAGCTTTGTCACCTGTTGACAGGAGCAAACAGCGGCCTGCCATCCAGGCGGGACTTCTGGGGGGGAGGGGTGAGACCCTCCAGGTCACGGTGGGGGCCTGCACACCAGCTGCCTGATATGTGTCTATTTACAATGAAATCGGTGACAATCGAAACAACGCCAGCTCCCCCGTCACTCCGACCACATTCCAGGCACTCCCCGAGGCCCCACGTGGCCGGCCAGTGGCACTGCGCTGCACCCGGGTCTGCAGCTGAGGAACCGAGAGTGTTCCTCGGTTGTGCCACAAGGTCGGGGCAGGCCCAACTGAGTTTTCTGACTAGATGGGGGGGGGGGGGGTTGGAATAACCACCCCACTGTCCGGTTTATGCACAACAAACCACGACCAAGGCCACCTAGGCCCCAGGAGGGCCACCTCCGAGGGTGCAGCCTGCAGGGGCCGAACGGGAAGTGGGGGAGCCAGCCCGGGCCCCAGGGGAGGGAGGGACGGGCGCTGGGATTCTGGCCCTTCAGCTGGAACGGGCCCTTGGGCCGCCCTGCCCCTCTCTGCATGCCTGCACTCAGGCGGGCGGGGTGCGGCCCTCGGTACCCCCGCTGCCCCACCCCTACAAACACTTGCCCGAGCCTTACTTACGTCTGCTGGTATCCGTCAGGCTGGAAGCAGGGGTCCCAGCCGAAGTCCCGGCAGCCGCGGGGTGCCACGATCTGGCCCTGCCCGAGGAAGAGGGGACAAGTGTGGAAGCTGGGCAGCAGCCGGCACCAAACTCAGAGGGGACCCCCCACCCCCCACGCCACTCTTCACCCACCACAGACCTCGCTGCAGACAAGGGTCAGCGCTGAAAACGTGACAGAGAATACCTTCAGGCCCGAAGCCCAGGTTCCACCCCCAGCACCGCCAGATCCCTAGAGCAGAGCCGGGAAGCAGCCCGGGAGCACCACCAGGTGTGGCCCATGAACAAACTCCCCCCCCCCCCCCCCCAAAAGGAGCTAAGAGCTCTGGCCTTTGCAGATAAGCCCCATGCCTGCTCTTATCACCATCCTTCCCCAAGTACAAAGGAGTGTCTAAAGTAAACAAACAAACAAAATCCAGGTACCATGTTTCACCAGAAAACCATCATACCTGATGCCTTTTCTATTTGGGGGTTGGGGGAAGGGCACACCCAGCAGTGCCCGGGGGGGCTGCTCCTGGCTCTGTTCTCAGGTGGTGCTCAGAACACCACAGGCAGTGCGGGGCCGCTGCCTGTGAGCATCTTACTTGCTCTCCCATCTCTCCCGGCCCCGCCCCTAGTTTTAAGGTACCAGCGTGGACCAGAGAGTGCCGCCTCGCCTCACGTGCTTCCAGCCCTGGCACCCTAAGCCCCTCCGCCCCGCACAGCACAGGGAGTGACCCCTGGGGACAGAGCCTGGAGTAAGCCCCAAGCACCACGGGGGATGGTCCCACCCACCCTCCCTGAAAACTAAGACATGTTTGTTTCTTTAAAGCTTCACGTAATTGACACACTCAAAACCTGCAAAAAGGCAGGAAAACCTGCGACAATTATGCAGGAAAATGCAGGGCTTAGAGGATGGGGCGCAGGGACCAGTCAGGCCAGAGAAATTCCACTTGTGCTATGAGGACCTGGGTGACCCAGGCCAATTACTAGATCACTTAAGAGCCTCGCCCAGGCGACAAGCGTGTTTTGAACACCTCCAGCAGGGCCTGGCCTTCCCTGGCAGAACAGATCACGGCAAAAACAGGCACCACCACACAGCAAACAAATTAATGATTTCCAAATGCAAAGTGCTTCCTGGGGAGCAGGCTGGGATGACCTCAGTGGGAGGGGGGGACGACGACACAGCAAAGGCCACCGAGAGGGGGCATTTGGGCCACGTTTGAGGGGCCGGGCAGGCACATTCCTGGCAGGGGCCCCCCCACCGCTGGCTGCTGCTCAGGTCAGGCGATGATCAGGTGATCGGTCACTGCAGAGTGTGGTGGCAGCTCCAGGGTGCAGGCCAAGCAGAAGCCACCTCAAATGCAGTGGGGGTTGGGGAGCAGTGAAGTGCAGGAAGCAGAGTCGGGGACACAATAGGAAATGGCTTGGGGGGGGGCTGCAGTGACGCGGGCCTGTCAACAGGGCAGCCAATGCTTAGTCACCGTGCAGGAAGTCGGGGCCTGTGGCTGTTCGAGCTTCAGATTTTTGTTCTCTTTCTTTTGTTTTTGAGCCACACCCTGCCAGGCCTGGGGGCTCCTTCCAGTGCTTGGGGGCCCCTGAGGTGCCAGGACGGAACTGGGAGCAGAGCCAGGGCTCCGGGCAGGCAGAGGAGACCCAGGGCGATCTGCTATCTCTCTGGCTCCCAGCCTCTCATTATTTGAAAAAACATTTCTACAAAAGTAGTAGACAACTCATTAAAAAAAAATTCTTTGTTGTTAAGATCCAACAACAGTATAGCAGGGAGGGCGTTTGCCTTGCAGTGGTCAACCTGGGCTCAATCCCCAGCATCCCAAATGGTCCCCCAGCCCACAAGAAAGAAGTAGGCCTGAGCACTGGTGGGTGTGGCCCCTAAACAAGAACTTTTTTTGGGGGGGGATGGGATGGGCTACACCTGGTGATATTCAGGGCTTACTCAATCCTGCCCTCTGAGGATCATATGCGGTGCCTGAGATCAGACGTGGGTCAGCTGTGTGCAAGGCAAATGCCCTGCCAGCTGTTCAATCACTGGCCCCTCATTAAAAAATTTTTAACCAGGCAGCATGCTCAACCAACCTCACTTCTGGGAATTTAATCAAAACAATTAAAAACAGAATCTCAAGAACTTATTTGCACACCCGAGGTTTACGAAAGCATTTTTCAAGTAGCTGAAATGCCCATCACAGTTAACTAGACTAAGAAAACGTGTATTAACATATAACTAAACTTTATTCAGCCTTAAAAAAGACAAATACTGGGCTGGAGAGATCGCACAGCAGGTAGGGCACCTGCCTTGCCCAGCACCACCTATGGTCCCTTGAGTACCACCAGGTGTTAATCAAAAAAACATTTTTGAATGGGGTAGGGAGGCCTGGAAATATAATATAGGGGTAGAGCGCTTGCCATGCATGTGACCCACCCACATCCAATCCCTGATGGTTGGTCTCCTGAGTGTTGTTGGGAGCGATCCATCAGTGCAGAGGCAGGAGTACGCCCTGGGCACCACCAGGAGTGACCAAAACACAAAACAGAATAGACAAATTCTGCAGGACAACTCTTACTGAAAAGGAGTCACAGCAAAAAGTACGGGGCAGGGCTGCTCCTTCAGTGCAAGAACCTCACATCCCGGGCACGTGGCATGTGTCCCACCACCACCCGAGCCCTCTCTCCCCAGACCCCCCAGGATTCGTCTATGATACACCCAGAAGAGTCCAACCTTTGGAAAGAGAAGCAGAATGGAGTTGGCCAGAGGGGCAAGAACAGAGGGGAACGGGGAGCCACCAAGGGGTATGGGGTTCCAGCCTTCTGAAGTTCTGGAAATCCATGGCACATGCTCAGAATGAACACTTAAATAAATAAATAAATAAATAAAAGGTCTGTTTTGTTTGGGGGTCACACTCAGAAATCACTTCTGGTGGGGCCAAGGGGACCATCTGGGGTGCTGGGAACCAAACGTTGGCCGGCTGTGTGCAAGGCAAGGGCCCTACCCGTATTTCTGTGCTGTACTTTCAAAAACGCAAAGATGGCCATTGTCGGGGTTTGTCTGCTTTGGGGGCCACACTCAGCACTTCACAGGGCTTATTCCTGGTCCTGAGCTCAGGGATCACTGCGGTGAGGTTCAGGTGATCATATGCAGTACACCCGGGTCAGCTGCAAACTACCTGCTGTACTATCTCCCTGGCCATTGTGATTCGGTGCTTTTTCACTACAGTCAAGAAAACATCTACCAGGCAGGCTGGCAGGAAACGTCTGCGGAGGAGCTGGAGCCTCCCTGGGTCTCTGCAGCTCCCCCGAGCCCAGGGCAGAAGGTGCACCCGAGTCAAGGCGGGGCTGGGGGCAGCAGGTTCAGCCTAGAGAGGGAACTGAGCCCCGTGAGGAGCAGCGGCTGGACCCTAGGGTCAGGTGTGGAGATGCAGGAGTGAAGGGCAGCTGGGGCGGAGGCCTGATGCTACCTGAATATGGAAAGTCAGAAAGGTCATCACGGGAAGCCGGAATCACAGAGGCTGAGCAAAGAAATCCCAGCTGCTGGGCTGGAGAGATGGTAGGAGGGCGCCTACCTTGCACGGGGCCCACCCAGGTTAAATGCCCCGCACCCCACAGGGTCCCCTGAGCACCATCAGGAGCACTATCCTGAGCTTTGCTAGGCCTGGCAAGAGAGAGGAGAAGAGAGAGAGAAAAGAGAAGAAAGAGGAGAAAAGAAGAGAGAGGAGAGAGGAGAGAGGAGAGAGAGAGAGATCCAACAGCTTGGGACCTGATAGAAAAACCAAGGGGGAAAGAAAAAAAAAGGGAAAAAATGGGCGCGAGAGATGGTATAGTAGGTAGGGTACTTGTCTGGTATGCGGGTGACCCAGAGTCGATGCCCGGAGCTCCCTACGGGAGCTGACAGGTGTGATCCCTGAGCACAGTGCCAGGAGTAACCCAAGCACCCAGTGTGGCCCAAAACCAAAAATAAAAATAAAATAAAATAAAGAAGGCCAGTCTCCTGGGCCAGAGACAACCAGCAGGCCGAGTGCAGGCTCTGCACGGAGAGGCCACTTTGACCCCCAGCACCCCATGGCTCTCCCAAGCACTGCCAGGACCAAGCACTGAGCCAGGAGGAGCTCCTGAGCACTGCTGGAAAAGAAAAGAAACCCGAGCTTGGCGACGTCTGGGCTGTTGATGGGGCATCGGGGAATCACTGTCCTCAGGTTCCACATCTGCCTCTCGGGAGGGTTGACAGGCCGGGTGCACAGCTGTTAGCCATTGTGCATTTCCCTGAAACGCCAGCCTCCTCGGGGAGCAAAGAGGCTTCAGGGCTGACATCACTGCTAGCTGTGGTGCCCGGGGTGACTGGGCGCAGCCCTGGGATCCAGCTCCAGCTCCAGCTCCGCGGAGCCCGCCCCCACCTTCCTGCAGAAGAGGCCTGCCGCCGGCTTGAGTCACAGCGCCCTCTGGTGGCACGCGGGGGAACAAGAGGGGAACGTACCGCAGTCCGGCCCTGGAACAGCAGCACCGGCTGCCCGGGGTCCCCAGTGCTGAGGGCAAAGGTGCAGAGCGCATAGGCTGACTTGTCCTCGAACCCGGCCAGCAGCTGGTGGAGACCTGCAGAAGTTCCAGTGAGCGGAAGCTGTAGCCTGTACTGCCAGCAGCCGCCCTCACCTAACAACACCCCACCCAGGGGCCTCATAAGGATTCCCCAGAGGAGCCCTGGCCCTGATCACCCGGGAAACGGGAGGAGGCGGAGGTGAGGCTCCCTGTTCCAGGGTGTATCACCTGACATGCCCATAATAAAAAGTGCTTCTGAAGGACCTACAAAGGAACCGTCTGGGCCTGCCATTAGGGGTTGGGGTGGGTGGGGGATGGGGCCTTGGAGGGCACTGCCGCTTCCAGGCCTGGCCCTGCCTGAGACAAGGACAGGGAGGCAGTCCCAGGGCCCCCAGTCCCTTTGCGCTTCCAACTGCAGGGCCACCAGCCTTCACCCATCAGCCTTCGTGCAGCCGGGGGCCTGGAGGCGAAGACAGGTTCTGAGCTGGGAGCAGGAACCCGATTCCTGCTAACTAGCTGGGATCCTCCCCACAGAAGAGCCCAGGGGGCTGGTGGTACCTTCAGGCTTTAACTTCTCCAGGAACCACTTTCTGCAAGAGAAACCAAAGCCGATCAGATGATCAGGGTCTTCCACCCAGATGAAGAGAAAAGAATCCCACAGGGAAAAGACAAAATACAGAATGTCACCGAGGCTTTCAACTGCACTGGATAATGACAAACGAGACTTAAATACCATTTTTGTCACTTCTCCATGCTGCAGAACTACTGAGAAGTAAAAACAAAAACCTCCTCAGTGCTGGTGGGGATATGGAGCAAAGTGCCATGGAAGGAGATGTGAGCTGTTACTGACTCGCAAGCTGATGATGAAATTGGTCACCAGGCACTTGTCTTGTATCTTCAGCACTGCATCCAGCCCTCAAGCACCACCAGGAGTGACCCCAAAGCACAGAGCCAAGGGTAACCCCTGAGCACTGTTGGGCATGGCCCCAAAGCAAACAAAACTGGCCACCCGTAAGTTAAACTTAGGCTTCTCCAAGGCCAGGCAACAGCACTCTGGCCCCAGGAAGGACAAGCAAATTAACACCAAGATCCAAGAGGGTCCAGGGCACCAGTGTTTCCAGGAAACCCATTTCAAATCTCAACGTGCTTCTCTCCTCTTTCCTGAAACCAACCCGCCCACAAATGCGCCTCTCTGGCGGGTGGGTCCCCTTTGCCCATCTCCACTTACAGGGCACATTCTCACACTTCACAAAAGAAAAAGCCTGCCTCTCCCCCACCCCTAATCCTCCCTTGGACAATCCGGAACACTAGCACCGATGCCAAGACAGGGAACGACCCGCGAGATCAGGTAACCGACCGTTTCAGAGTTCAGGGTGCTCTGTGGCCGGCAGGGAGACTCACATGTAGGGTCCGGGGAGGCCCCCCAGGGCGTTGAAGCAGAGACAGGTGTCCTCCACCAGGACCGGCCCCTGCACCTGCAGGACAAGAACACACAGTCCTGAGGCGGCCCCCAGCACCGCCCACACCTTCCCCCCACTCCAGGGCCCGGCAAGCCTGGGAGGAGCAGCAGAGGAGGGCAGACAGGGTCCCTTCCTCCCTCCTCCGACTACAGGGACCCTGCTTGCCAATGACTTATCTTCATTTTAAAGAGTCAGGCTACACCTGACTAATGTAGAGTTCCTTCTCCACAACCCCCACGCAGGGGTGAGTGGATAACAACCCCTTCTTCAACTCGAAATGCAACGGTGGATGGAGAGAGGGAGAGTGGTATAAGAGATGAAACATGCACCTGGGAGCAGGGGAGAAAAGAGAGGGAAAGTGAGAGAGAGAAAAAGAAACAGAGAAGAGACTGGAGTGATAGTGCAAGCAGGTAGGGCTAGGGCGTTCGCCTTGCACAGGCAACCCGGGTTCAATCCCCAGTCCCTGAGCACGATCAGGAGGGATTCCTGAAAGCTAAGGCAGGCGTTAAGTCCTGAGCCCTGTTGAATATAGCCCCAAAGCAAAAGAAAGCAAATGGAATGTATGAAAGAGCTAGGAGAAGAAAGAGAGAGACGGGTGTGTGTGAGAGAGAGACAGACAGAGAGAAAGAGAGAAGGAAGGTATGTGTGGGTGAGAGGGAGGGAGAGTGTGTGCCAGAGAGAGAGAAAGAGAGAGAAGAGAAGAGAAGGAGGGTATTTGTGTGTGAGAGGGAGGGAGAATTATGTGTAGTGAGAGGGAGAGAGAGAGAGAGAGAGAGAGAGAGAGAGAGAGAGGGGGGGGGGAGGGGGAGAGAGAGAAGGAGAGAGGGGCTACATTAGTGTTCCAGAGCCACCGTGGGCCAACCCCCCAGTGAGGTCTGGGCTGGACTGTGAAGACATGATAAATGGTGCCCACCCTGTTCCTCTTTGCCTGCTCCCAGCTGGCCCGGGGCCCGGGAGCTGACCAAGGAGCTGACCAAGGAGCTGACCAAGGAGCCAGCCTCGGACTCCGTGCGGAACAAGCACCTGGCGTGCTGCCTCCAGGCACTTCTGTCTGGAAATCTCGTCCGGCTCGCCCTGGTACTCCGGCACTTGGAGAGGAAACAGAGAATCAGACCATGGGGAGACAGAGAACCCCAACCCTAACGCGAGGGCAAACAGAGCGGAGACATACGATCAATCTTCTTTGCCACCAAGGTGCAGGGAAACTTATCTCCTAGAATTTGAGTGACCTGTTGCAAAATGAAAGGACATTCATCACCATTTGCTAATGGACCCCCAGGACCGCAGCAGCTGTCACCCACTTTCCTTCAGGTGACTCTGGGCAGTCCCTGGAGAAGCCTGTGAGTCTGTCTGACAGCGCTTCCGGCCAGTGACAGGCACGAGAGCCTCTGTCGATTCCATCACGCACCGGCGCCAGACCCCTGTGACTTCATAGCCTGGATGCTCGCTACCCCGTCCTAAAGCCTAACAAGGCAGGGCTGGAGCGACAGGACAGGGGGGAGGGCGCTTGCCTTGCACGAAGCCAGCCCGGGTTCAATCCTCAGCACCCCATACAGTCTCCAGAGCACTGACAGGAGTCATTCGCATGTGTAGAGGCAGAAGTAACCCCTCAACATTGCAAGGTGCCCCCCCCCCCCCGCCAAAAAAAAGCTTTGCAAGTCGAGCCCAGGGAGGTGATCCCCCACCTCCTTCGGAATCGCACCCCAGCAGGTGAGAGCCCTCATCTCCTTACTCACCCTCTGGTCACCCTCCTGCCCTCTGCCCTTCTCTGCCCCACTCTGGCCACCCAGAAACCCCACCCACCCTCAGAGACCAGCAGCTCTCAGGATCCAGGATCGAAGCCATACGGAGAAAAAAATAACTGTATATATTCACTGCCCTGGACTGAAAGTTAGCATCTCGTCTCAACTATAAATACAGGCCCCTGTGGGATGGGAGGTGGGAGGGATACTGGGACCCGTGGTGGTGGAAAATGGGCACTGGTGGAGGGATGGGTACTTGATCATTGTACAATTGAAACCCAAGCACAGAAATTTGTAAGTCTACATCTGTACCTCATGGTGTTTCACTAATAAAAATTTAATAAATAAATAAATATAGGCCCCCGTGACCTTTTAACCCATGAAAGCACTGCAATTTCATATCTCATGATTTTTTAGTAGATATTGCAAAATAGCATTCAAATCCTATTTTTAAGTTATTGCAATTATGCAGCTAGATTGAATCCTTTAATATATTATAAAGCACAGGTATCCAGATCATAAGAACTTATAATATTTGAGAATGTACTTAAACAGAATTGGGTTATTGTAAATCAATTATGCATTAATAAAAATGAAATTTAAAAAATAATTATTTAGGAGCCAGAGAGATAGTACAGTGGGATCTCTGAGCACTGAGCCAGGAATAAACCCTAAGCACATCTGGGTGTGGCTCCAAAACTTAAGTAACTGATTTCAGGGCCAGAAAAATACAAATTTAAGGAGACTGCTTTTCTTCCTTTTTTTTTTTTACTCAGATAACTATTTTTTTTCTTTTTTTTCTTTTTAATTTTTATTAGTGAAACCCCACGAGGTACAGTTGTAGACTTACAAATTTTTGTGCTTGAGTTTCAGTTATAGAATGACCCAGTACCCATTCTTCCACCAGTGCCCATTCTCCATCATTTACATTTTTAAAAAAAAATTTTGTTAGTGAAATACCATGAGGTACAGTTATAAATTTACAAATTTTTGTGCTTGGGTTTCAATTGTACAATGATCAAGTACCCATCCCTCCACCAGTGCCCATTTTCCACCACCACGGGTCCCAGTATCCCTCCCACCCCCCATCCCCTCGTCCCACCCTGCCTCTGTGGCAGGGTATTCCCTTTTGTTCTCTCTCTCCTTTTGGGTGTTGAGGTTTGCAAAAGAGGCATTAAGTGGCAATCATGTTTGGTCTGTAGTCTACTTTCAGGATGCTTCTCCCATCCTGGGAGGATCCTCCCAACACGTTTTATTTGGTGCTCTTTTCAAGGAGACTGCTTTTCAAGAAGCTAAGACCCATATGCTCTGGAGCCACCTGGTCCCTCAGCACTGCCAGGGATGAACCTCAAGCCCAGAGCCAGGAATTGCCCCTGAGCATCACTGGATAGCGCTCAAGAGTAACTGATTTTCTTTGTAATCCCACGTATTTTTGTAAATTTAAAAACAGGGCCAGAGAGAAAGCTGAATGCAGGCTGCGTGAGCCCCTGAACAAACCAAAATTAACCAAAAAAAAAAAAAGAAGAGGAGGAGCTGGGACGATAGCAGAGTGGGTAAGAGCCTGGTCTTGCACGCAGCTGACCTGGGTTCAATCCCCAGCACCCCACAGGGGCCCTGGGCTCCACCAGGAGTTTAAGCCCTGCGCACAGCTGTGTGTGGCCCCCCCCAAAAGAAGAAAAATATTGGGGGAGGGGGGACTAGGAGCTTGAGACTGAAGGGGCTAGAGCACATGCTTTGCATGTCAGAAAGCAAGGTTTGATCCCATCACCACATACCTCTGAGTATGACCCCCAAAACTAAAAAACATAAAACAACACATAGGCACATCTCTCTTGAGGGTGCTTGCCTCCAGTGCTAGATGGGTTTCGTCACTGTAATAAACCTCCACTGTGGGGCTGGAGCAACAGGACAGTGGGGAGGGCATTTGCCATACATGTGGCTGACCTCAGTTTAATCACTGGCATCCCCTACAGTCCCCCAAGCACTGCCAGGAGTAACCCTTGAGCATCGTCGGGTGTGACCCAAAAAGCAAAAAATTAAAAACGTAGGGGGCTGGAGCAATAGCACAGCAGGAAGGGTGTTTGCCTTGCACACGGCCGACCCAGGTTCAATTCCCAGCATCCCATATGGTCCCGACACCACCAGGAGCAATTGCTGAGTGCAGAGCCAGGAGTAACCCCTGTGCATCGCTGGGTGTGACCCCCAAAAAGCAAAAAATTAATTAACTGAAAAAAAAAAACCTCCACTGAAACCAGATCCATATACACACAGTTCTGAAGCTGCTCATGTGGCTCTGTGGCCAAGCGCCTGGGTGAGGCTAGGGTCCAATTCCAGAAGTATTGCACACCCAGGGTCCAGAGAGATAGAACAGCAGGTAGGGTGCTGGCCTTGCATGTGGCTGACCTGCATTTGATCCCCAGCACCCCACATGGTCCCCTGAGCACAGCCAAAAGTGACCCCTGAGCTCAGATGAGTAAGCCTTGTGTACCGCTAACTGTGCCTCCCCAAACAAAAAGTGTGGCACCCCAGCAGCATATAACCACAGTAGGTGGGTTCTTGTCATGGCAGCACAGGAAGAGAAAGGAGGGGGTACCAGAGCAATAGTACAGCGCGTAGGTGTTTGCCTTGAACACAGCACCCCACATGGTCCCCTGAACCCGCCAAGAGTGATTACTGAATCGGGCTGGAGCGATAGTACAGTGGGGAGGGTGATCCCTGGCATCCCATATAGTCCCCCAAGCACTGCCAGCAGGGGTTCCTGAGGGCAGAGCCAGGAGTAACCCCTAAGCAACGCCGGGTGTAACCTGAAAAGGAAAAAAAAAAGGAGTGATCCCTGAGCACGGCTGGGTGTACCTCATCAACCCCCAACAAATTCTCAGAGCCAGCTCTATGACTGTGTGTGTGCTCTGCATGTGTGAAGCCCAAGTTTCAATCCCCTGCATCACAAACATATAAAAATAAGCAGATGGAGAAAAGGACAGCAAGAAGAGACTCCCTAGCGGCCTCTTTGAGATGAAGAGTGATTGGGGGAAAAAAAAAAAACTTGACCCTTTCTTTAGGTCAAGTTCAAGCCCATCATCTTCAGTCAGCCACCTGGAGTCATTCCAGCCCCTTTCTTCAAGTGTGGGTGGGCCACTTTCTCAGCTAGTGACAGATTTAGTCTTGGGGGCTGGCATCTGCCACCTTGCATGTGGCTCCACTCAGAACTCAGCAGGGTTTGGCCAGACTGATAGCATAGTAAGTACGGCGTTTGCCTTGTATGCGGCCAACCCGGGTTCAATCCCCAGCATCCCGTATGGTCCCCCAAGCATCACCAGGAGTGATTCCTGATGATTCCTCAGTACAGATCCAGGGCATTGCAAAAAAGTAAAAAAAAAAAAAAAAAAAAACACACCACAAAGGGACATAAAAGGCTGGAGATACAGTACAGCAGAGGTAGGCACTTGCCCTGAATGCACCAGACCTGGGTCCATCCCCAGCATCCCAGGTGGACCCTGAGGCAGCCTGGAGTAATTCCTGAGTGCAGAGCCAAGAGTAACCCCTGAGCATCTGGGCGTGGTGCCAAATAAAACAAAAAAGGGGAAAACAACCTCAGAGAGGCACTGACCTGTCTGCTCGGGAGTCTGGCCTCAGGACCCCAAAACTTATCAGCACACAGAGGTCTGGCTTCTGAGAATCCCCACCAGAAATGCCATTAGCTCCTCCACTGTGAAGAATGAGGAGTCCCCTAATCACAGCACCCTACTGGCCTACCTGACTATACAGTGGGTGTCACACTCCCCAGCAGGACGCCACAGCCTTGGCCTGATGGGGGTAAACCCATGACCTCAGCAAAGTGGACTGGAGCTGAGGACTGGCAGAAACACCGGGGTCCCTTCTGCTAGAAGGACCCCAATAAACAGGGATGCGCGTCTGCAAGGGCAAGTCACCCCCTGGAGACTCCTCAGGACTTGGGCCACCCCACTGCTGCATCCCCAAAACATCCCCTGGAGCACCCTTTTCTCACAACCAAGGCCCCCATCCTCATCAAGCCCCGCGGGGAGCACAACTTGGCAGTCCACTGCATCCTTTCCTCATTAATGTGGCGCATGGCGTCACATTCTCCACGGCCCAGGAAAGCTCAGTCTGCACCAGCCGGGGGTAGGAGGGGCTGGATTCAACCCCAGGGAGTGTGGGGGTCTCCCAGGCGACCTCCCGGGCAGGTGCTGAGGTCACATGACTCCTCCAGTGCACACCCTTGAGCTCACACATTCCGTGGTGGGGGATCTGTCAGGGTGCTTATCCCGGGCTGAACCTCGTGGTCCAGCCACCCGTGATCCCGCAGTTGCCTCCCTCTGGCCAGCACCACGCATCCCATAGACACTTCCCTCTGTCCAGCCACAGGTAACCCCACCGCCGCCTCCCTCTGGTCAGCGACATGCAACCCCGCAGCTGCCTTTCTGTCCTGCACGCGATCCCTCAGCCGCTTCCCTCTGTCTAGCACGATATCCCGCAGCCTCCTCCCTCTGTCCTGCACGTGATTCCTCAGCCTCCTTCTGCCCAGCCACGTGCAATCCCGAAGACACCTCCCTCTGGCCAGCCACGTGCAACCTCGCAGCTGCCTCTGTCCAGCACGCGATTCCTCAGCCATCTCCCTCTGTCTAGCAAGCGATCCCGCAGCCTCCTCCTTCTGTCCTGCGCACGATTCCTCAGCCTCCTTCTTATGCCCAGCCACGTGCAATCCCGGAGACGCCTCCCTCCGTCTAGCACGCGATCCGTAGTCGCCTCCCTCTGCCCAGCCACATGCAACCCCGCAGCTGCCTCTCTGTCCTACATGTGATCCCGCAGCCTCCTCCCACTGTCCTGCACGCGATCCCTCAGCCGCCTCCCTCTGTCTAGCACGCGATCCCTCAGCCTCCTCCCTCTGTCCTGCACACGATTCCGCAGTCTCCTTCTTATTTCCAGCCACGTGCAACCCCGGAGACGCCTCCCTCCGTCCAGCACGCGACCCGTAGTCGCCTCCCTCTGCCCAGCCACATGCAACCCCGCAGCTGCCTCTCTGTCCTGCACGTGGTCCCGCAGCCTCCTCCCTCCGTCCTGCACGCGATCCCGCAGCCGCCTCCCTCTGCCCAGCCACGTGCAACCCCGCTGCCGCCTCCCCGTCCTTCACGTGAGCCCGCGGCCGCTCCCTCGGTCCTGCAGGCGAGCCCGCAGCCGCCTCCCTCTGCCCAGCCACAACCGAGCCCGCAGCCGCCTCCTACTCGACCCTCCAAACCCGGCCGGCACCTCCTCCAACTTCTTGGAGTTGCCGGTGACAAACACGAGCTTCTTGCCGACCAAGGAGGCCGCCATGGTTGCCACCGGCCCGCAGCCCGCCGGAAGTCCCTGCTCCGGGAGGCGGGCACTTCCGGCCGGCGGCGGAAGGGGCTGGTCCGACTTCCGGCCCGCGGTCCGGCGAGGCTGCGGCAGGGAGGCGGTTGGCGGCTGAACCGCTTAGTCCGGAATTCGGTGTCCGCGCCGGGTCCCGGGAATCCTGGCTCACGTCGCCGGGGAGCCTAGCCACTCCCTTCCGGAAGGAGCAGTTTAGAGTTGGGGTGTTAGCGGGGAGGACAACGGCGCACGCGCCCCACTCCGCGGCCGGATAACTGAGGTCTTTGGCACTGGAGGTTGAGTGCGACACCAGTCCTTGCCGCCAGGGGGCGCTCGCTGCCAAGACCAGAAGGGGTCGGTCCCCGCCACCGACCCAGGTCTGGGGATGGGGTCCCCGAGGATGGGGTCCCCTGGGCAGCAAAGACTCCACCAGCCGCGGTTCAGTGACAGCTGCCCGGCTATCCGCTCTCCCTAAGGAGGGCGCCTCCCTGGCTGTCTCCTTCTGGACAAGGACTTCTTAACTTCTGTGTCCTGATCTAGGCCCTTGCGGCTGCCTTAGCTCCTCCTTGCCCTCCAGCTCAGATCTCCTGGACAGTGAATTTTCAGCTTAGCACTACCAACAGCAGAGAATGTGGCACAAACCATAGAGCACACACGTGTGCAAGACCCCGAGGGCCGTTCCCAGGCTCACACCTCCCCACCTACCCAGTGCTACCGGATGCCAGACATGGCCCCTGTTAAATCAAAGTTATAAAAATAAACGAGTGAAAATAAAATGGACTCAGTCTATAACAAGTCCAGTCTGCAGGAACGTTATTTTGTGCTCCCTGGTACCCTCCTCTCTCCCACCCACTTAAATGAATTATTTTTTTCTGTGAACTTGCCTCCTCTACCCAGGGCTGCATTTTGGCTGTTTTTATTTGGTGTGGGGGCTGAGCAAGTCTGGGGACCTGCTCAGCAAGTGCTCAGCCAGTGGCTACATTCCTGAGCCCCAACCAGGTGTCTTTATTGTTGTTGGCTGGGGGACCTCCAGGTGATTTCTTGCCAACCTGGGCCCAAGGATGTGATGCCAGCTTGGAGGAGGGAGGGGCTACTTGGGCTAACCCTTGTGTTGCTGGAGGAGACTTTAGGGTCATACCCTGGGTGTTGGGGGTCAGGGAGCGCTCCAAGTCTTTACCCATCAGTGTTTAGGAATCTCTGGGACTGTACCCAGAGGTGAGGCCACCACGTGGAGTCAGGGATAGTCCTGGGGTCATCCATCATGCAAAGCAAGTGCCTTAAAAAAGGAATGCCCTGCCACAGAGGCGGGGCAGGATGGGGGGGTTGGGGAGGGGGGAGGGCTGCTGGGATCATTGGTGGTGGAGAATGGGCACTGGTGGAGGGATGGGTACTCGATCATTTTATAACTGAAACCCAAGCACGAAAGTTTGTAAGTGTACAACTACCTCATGGTGTTTCACTAATAAAAAATAAATAAAATTTTTTTTAAAAAAAGCAAGTGCCCGGGGGTATGGTGCCGCCAGCAGGTCAATCTGTACCTGTGAGGCGAGTGCATCAGCAGCCTCATGGCGCCTTCAGACTTCCAGATACCCCAAAATTGCTGCTGTGCCTTTGGCCAGACCCCAAAAACTTGGGGCAAAGTTTACCAAGAAAGTAAACGGCCAAAAGTTAGGTATGTGGGAGACACACCCACAAACCACCTCCAGCTCAGCTATATAATTGGAGGCAAGGCCTCTTTGGTTCCTGATTGAACTGCTTAATGGACATGATCCCAGAGACTCAGAAACGAATCTCAGAACCCAGTGGCTTTAGGTAGAAATGCGTCTGGTCTCTGCAGTAGGCTACCGGTGCTGGGCCAACCCAGGTGGGAATAGGTTTCGTGCCTTGGCCTGTTCCCCCTGGCGGCCCAGTGGCCACCATCCGTCTGAGGCCACTGAATAGTCACATTTGGGCCCCCAGTGACGAGACACACAGGGCCTCACGGGATGGGGGTGGAGCCGGGCTTGTCCTCCCCACCCCAACGAGACCCCAAGTCATCGCCCACGAATGGCCTCTCTGGCTCCTCATCAAGCTGCTCAACGGCCTTGATCCCAGAGACTCAGAAACAAATCTCAAAACCCAGCAGCTTTTGGCAGAAATGTGTCCGGACCCCGCAGTAGGTTACTGTCGCCGGGCCACCACAGGGAGGAATGGGTGCTGTCCCTCCGCCTGCTCCCTCTTGGCGACTTGGTGGCTGTCACCCTCCAGAGGCCATTGGACAGTCAGGCTTGGGCCTGCAGTGACGAAACTTGTTGGGCCTCATGGGATGGGGGGGGGCGGGGAGCCGGGCCTGTCCTCGCCACCCCAACGAGACCCCAAGTCATCGCCCACGAATGGCCTCTCCGGCTCCTCATCAAGCTGCTCAACGGCCATGATCCCAGAGACTCAGGAGCAGATCTCTAAACCCAGTGGCTTTTGGCAGAAATCCCTCCAGATTTAAGTGTTAAAATTTCGGAATTTCAAAACCACATGGCCCTACTGCAGCCACACGACATCATATGTTATTCATAACCAGCAATAGAACACAAATTGTCTATTGTTGCCTTTTCAGCAGATCTGAGTGTTGGGGTAAAATCTCAAATAATGGTGGGTCTGGTGTCAAAATAGTGAATGTGATCAAAGTAGAGAGAGAGTAATGTAGAAATCATCTGCCCCACAGGTAGGGGGAGGGTGTGGGATAGGGGTATACTGGGGTTTTTGGTGGTGGAGAATGGGCACTGGTGAAGGTACGGATGTTTCATTGTATGACTGAGACTTAGACCCGAAAGCTTTGTAACTGCTTTCACAGTGATTCAATAAATAAAATTATAAAAAATGGAGAAAAAAAAAGCAAGTGCCTTAATCCTGCTCTATCTTTCTGATTCTACCATTCCAATATAACAAATGACAACAGGTTGCCATAAGTAAGTAAGTAAAGTAAAGGCCCTCCTGTTGATCATTGATTTGCTCGAGCGGGCCCAGTAACGTCTCCATTGGAGACTTTGTTGTTACTGTGTCTGGCATATCGAATACGTCACGGGGAGCTTGCCAGGCTCTGCCATGCGGGCGAGATACTCTCGGTAGCTTGCCGGGCTCTCCGAGAGGGGCGGGAGGCCATAGTTTTTGTAAATCCCCCTCAACCCCATCCTTGATCCTGCCCACATAGAGCTTTGCACTATACAATTCCAAATTGCCAGTAGTAGCTAGCTTTTATAAAAAATTACTTATCTGTGATTTACAAAGTTATTGATAGTTGTTTCGTTACTGGTATTTGGCATATTGGGTATATCACGGGGAGTTTGCCAGACTCTGCCGTGTGGGCAGGTTACATTTGGTAGCCTGCCAGTTTGTTCAAAGTAAGAATGAGATAATAAGATGTCGCGCGGCTGCAAATGTGGCCAAGCGCTTCCGGGAGCTGGGTTTTATAGTCTTTGAGTCTTGGCCATTGATGGGATTACACGACGCCAGGAGGCCAGTTGATGGGTGTGAACCCTGCCTACTGGGATTTGGAGGATCTACGTGGAGGACGCTCAGTCCTGATCCGAGCAGGCTTGGAGATCTCAGCCCCTGGACCCGCATGCCTTTGTTCCTCTGCCGGTACCTTCATGCGTGTGGAGAGTGGTCTCAGCATGGTGGTGGCTGGTTCTGGAGGTCTTCGGCTGCCACTTTTTAAAAAAATCTCAGGGCTAGGACGAAGGAGACGTTACTGGGGCCTGCTCGAGGCAATCAACGAGTAACAGGATGGTTGTGATCGTGATCATGATTGATAGTTGTTTTAGGCATATAGTATTTCAACACCAGTTCCACCTCCAGTGTCGACTTCCCTTCATCAGTGTTCCCATACTCCATCCCCACCACCCCCAACCTTGCCCTGCCTGCCACCTTGACAGGCACATTGCAAAGTTTGGTGATTGCAGCTTGGATCTCGTGTTTTCAGTGTATTCAGTGTATTAGCAGTGTATTCCTAAAACTTGCTTTTTTAGGAATTCCTGAGCTGATATCATGCTTCCAATTTGAATTTTTATTTATTTTTGGTTTGGGGTCACCCAGTAGTGCTCAGGAATAGCATTCCTGGCTATGCTCAGAGAACCATATGTGGGACCATGGATTAAACCTGGGTTGGTTGCGTGCAACGTGAGTGACTAATCCCCATCACTATCTCCAGACCCTGGGCCCCAGTTTATAAAAAAAATTTTTAAATCCCAGGTTTAATTTTTTTTTTGTTTTGTTTTGTTTTGAGGCCATGCCTGGCAGTGCTTACTCATGGTTGGGCTCAGGGGATCATATGGGATGCTGGAGATCTAACCTGGATTGGCGTGTGTAAGGTAAGTTCCCTTACCTTGGGAACTTTGTACTATCACATACGGTCCCCCAAGCCTGCCAGGAATGATCTTTAGCACCACTAGGTGTGACCCAAAACACAAAAATTAAAATTAAAAATAGAATTATTGGACCTTACAGGAGCTTAGAGTGCCTGCCTTGGTGTTCACATCCCCTGTGTTCTCTGTCTCCAGTGAGGCCCAGGCAGCTCTCTATCTGATCCTGGCAGCTCTACCACCTGATCACCAGAACCTGGAGCCATTCCCAGCCGCACCAAAGCCGGGGGCGTGTGAGCACAACGGAAAAGATGTGCAAGCAGCCTGGCTAGAAAGTGTGACCTTGGGCAAGCGTCTGTGAGCACTGAAGCCAGCACCCCAACCGTCACGGGCGTCTCCACCAAGAGAGTAACCTAGGCAGACATGTGGGCCACACAACTAAAGGAGCGCCAGGGTTGGAGAATTAGTCCAGCGGGTAAAGCACTGGCTTTGTACTCTGCAGACCCAGATTCAATCTCCTGCAGCACATTTGGACTCCTGAGCACTTCCAGGAGTGACCCCTGAGTGCAGATGTGACCCCTGAGTGCAGATGTGACCCCAAGTAGTGCTGATGTGACCCAAAACCAAACAAAAATCCCACTTTTTGAAAAGTAAAAGTTTTATTTAGAAGAACCTGGGGGGAGTGAGAAAGCTATGTATTCAAGAGAGAACACGGGCTTCTCCGGAGGGAGGAGAGCCTTTAGGTTGAGAGCTGGGTGAACCCCAAGTTGGAGAATGTGCCTAGAATTGTTTCCTTATTCTTTGTTGGGGAGATACACCGTATGTGATGCTGGAGATTGAACATAGGGTTTATCATATGCAAGGCAAGCACCTTATGCCTTGTACTATCTCTCTGACCCCTAAAATATTGCACTTTAAATAGATGCTTTGGTCTTTTACCCTCCCTTTCTCTTTCATCCCGCCCCCTTCCTTTTCTGTTTTGGGCCACATCCTGAAGTGCTCAGGGTCTATTCCTGGCTCTATGCTGAGTGATCACTTCTAGTGGTGCCTGTCAGGGGTCCGCAGCGCTTTACCTCCAGTATTATCTCTCCAGGCCACAAATTCACGGAGTGTACTCAGGTTGGTTACAACCAGCCTTGGATGAGGCGGCACATGCTGCCAAGGACTGGGGATCAGACTCATGGATGGCCTCAGGACAGACAGTCCAGCAGGTAAGGCATCTGTACTGTACGTGGGCCACATCGTATGTGGGTCTCACAAGCACCACCAGGAGTGATCCCTCGTAGCTATGCATAAGACCAGAGTAAAGCTGGATGTGACCCCGAAACAAAATAAGCTGGAGCTTCAAATATGCAAGGCAAGGGGATGTAGCACTGAGTTACATTCCCAGCACCCTCACAAACTGATTTTAATGTGGGGGAAAAAAAGAAAAAAAAAACAATCCCCGCCCCCCCCAAAAAAAACACCTCCAAAGCCCTTAAAAGAGAGCGGACGGGGCGGGGCTCCTCGGGGTGGGAGGAGCCTGAGAGGGTGGGAGGAGCTTTGGGTGGTGGGCGGGGCCTGGGATCCGGGACTGCAGGGGCTGACGCCCCGGTTCCGCCGAGAAGTCGTCGTCATGGTGGCTCCCGTGGTGTACTTGGTAGCGGCGGCTCTGCTTGTCGCCGTTATTTTCTTCCTGACTCGCAGCCGGGGCCGGGGGACAGCAGGTAGGAGAGGGCAGCGCGCCGGCACCGAGGGGCAGCCGGTGTCGGGCCAGGGCCTTACTAGGCCGAGGCGCCGCGGCTACCTGCGCATGCGCGGACCGGCGGGCTCGCGGCGGAGCACTGCGCATGCGCGGGGGCGGGGCGTGAGGTGACCCGCGGCCGCGGGACCCTTGGTGTCCACCACCCCTCCTATCCACCCCCCCCCCCCCCAAAGAGCGTGGGCTTGTCCACTCCTCTCCTCCAGCCACTCCAACTCTGAAAGGCCAGGGCCTGGCCCAGACGCTAGCATCTTCATTGACACTCCGCCCCTCGGCTCCCGTTGCAGAGACCCCCGGAGCCAGGAAAGGGTACCTCTCCTGCTTACCCACCAACTGCAGCCAGCGTCAGGCACTCCAGGAACTCCCTGCAACCAGGGGGCGCGCCCCTGCGCCCTGTTCGGCCTCCTGGCCCCAAGGCCAGGCATGCTGCCAGCAAGGGCACCGATTCGATGCACACCCGTGGCACGCACACGCCCACCCAACTTCCCCTGGGTATCTCCTGGGTGTCGGGGGTTTGCATAGCGTGTCTCTGCCCTCCCTGGGCCCACGAGCTGCGCCAGAGCACGGGCATTCCCAGGGGCAGGGAAGAGAGAAGCCGAGGCAAAGCGGGGACTCCTGGAGGCCCGGAGCTCTCAGGTCACAGGGCCAGGGACTGTCTTGTGCAGTCCTGCGGGCGGCCTTCAGGGGAGGCCTGGAGGTATCAGCCAGACCAGTGGCTGTCTTCTGACTGGCCGGTGGGACAGTGGGTCTGCATGAGAAAGTTAGCAAGGCAGGAGAATGGGTGCAGGGTGTTGTTGCCGCCTCGGGCTGAGGTCTGGAGCCATCAGGGCTTTGGGCTAGATGCATCAGGAAGCAGGAGCGGATGGAGAACCGTCCAGGCGGCTTTGCGGGTCCCTGAGGGTGCTACCTAGCAAGCGGGTGCTTGTCTCCCCTATAGCCGTCCAGGAACCACTGCACCATGAAGGGGAGCCCGCAGCAGCAGGCCGCGGGGCCCAGCCTCGAACCCTGGAGCCAGAGGAGCAGAGAGCTGGGGCCAGGCCCCGCCGTCGGAGGGACCTGGGCAGCCGCCTGCAGGCCCAGCGTCGTGCCCAGAGGGCGGGCTGGCTGGATGCAGATGAGAACGAGGAGGAAGCCGGCGTCCCAGGTGAGAGAGGGTCCCAGAATGCCCACCCTGCGGGAGGGCAGTCTGGGACACCCAGTAGATGCTCACCTGATCTGTGGGTCTGGAAGCTTTAGCTCTAGTTGTTGTTGTTGTTTGGGGGTCACACCTGCTTACTCCTGGCTCTGCACTCAGGAATCATTCCCGGTGGGACTTGGGGAACTATGTAGGACGCTGGGGATGCGTGAAAGGCGAGTGCCTCACCTACTTGTTCAGTAGCACCAGCCCCCTTGGAAGCCAGAGTTCTGATCCCAGACCCTTGTTTTGGTTTTGGATTTGGATCACACCAGCAGTGCTCAGGAATCACTCCTGGTAGGGGCTTATGCAACAATATGGGGTCCCAAACACACCCCACTCCTGGTAGTAGTTTCTGCTTTTGTGAGAGAGCTGGGCTTAAGACATTCAAAGGTGAGGGGCTGGAGTGATAGCACAGTGGGTAGGGGATTTTCCTTGCATGCGACCGACCCAGGTTCAATTCCCAGCATCCCATATGGTCCCCTGAACACTGCCAGGAGTAGTTCCTGAGTGCAGAGCCAGGAGTAACCCCAGTGCATTGCCAGGTGTGGCCCAAAAAGAAAAAAAAACATTCAAAGGTGAGTGAAAGGAGATCGATCCTACCTCTCCCACAAGGCTCCATCCTTATCTGCCCTCTGACTGGGACCTGTCTGTTTTTTTGGTGTGTGTGTGTGTGTGTGTGTGTGTGTGTGTGTGTGTGTGTGTTGGGGGTTGGGTGCATACCTGGTGATGCTCAGAGGTTAAGAGGTTACTCCTGGCTCTGCACCCAGAAATCACTCCTGGCGAGGGTCAGGGACCATATGGGCTACCAGAGATCAAACCCACGTTGGCCGCCTGCAAGGCAAATGCCCTATGCACTGTACTTTCTCTCCAGCCCCTCAAGTGCCTTTCTCGCGCCATTGTAGCCCAGGAGGAAGAGGACGTTGAGAAGCCCGTGGAAATTCACACGTCGGGGAAAATCGGAGCCAAGAAAATGCGGAAGCTAGAAGAGAAGCAGGCGCGCAAAGCACAGCGTGAGGCAAGCCAGAGGGCATAGGAGTCGGCTGAGCTGCCCCCACCGCGCTGACCGCCAGCTGCTGTTTGTCTCTGCCCCTGTGGGCCTGGCAAGGCATTGCCCGCCGTGGCCTCCTGGGGAGGGGTCACGCTCGCACCAGGGGCGGTGATGCGCCCCCAATGAAGGCCTCTCTCCAGGCAGAGGAAGCCGAGCGGGAGGAGCGGAAGCGCCTGGAGTTGCAGCGCGAAGCGGAGTGGAAGAAGGAAGAGGAGCGGCTCCGGCTGGAGGAGGCGCAGAAGGTAAGGAGGACTCTCGGGCCTGGCTCCAGCCCCTTCCAGAAGGCTCCCAGCCCCTCTGATTCCAATGGCAGGCCACACATCAAATTATTGAAAGGCAAAATGTTTTTTGTTGTTGTTGGGGTGGGGGGGAACTCGTAGTGTTTGTGGGCCTGTGTGGTACCCAGGATCAAACCCAGGGCTCCTGCATGCGAACCTTGGTGTTTTTATTTATTTATTTTTTTAAGAACAGTAAAGACCTTTATCGCACGAGCGGAGGATTTATTTGCTTTTCTGAGCCTCGATTTTCCTCAGAACTCCAGCTCCTTGCCTCTAGCGCCTGTCCATCTGCATGCAAACCTTTGAACCATCTCTCTTCACGCCATCCTCCACCCCTTTACTTTATTTGGCGGGGCCACTTCCAGTGGTGCCGGGAGCGGGGGCCAGCTTTCAGCTCTTTGTGGCCAGCAGTGCTCAGGGGACTGTCCGGTGCCAGGGATCCCATCTGGGCCTCCCACGTGCAGCATCTGTGCTCGGCCCTTTGAACGATTTTCCAGCCCTGTGATGGGGGCTTCTATTTTTGGGTTGGTGTGGTGTTTTTGGGGGGGGGGTTTGTTGGGTTTTTCTTTTTTTTTGGACCACAATGCTCAGGGCTTACTCCTGGCTCTGTGCTCAGGAATCACTCCTCGTGGTGCTCGGGGAACCATACATATGGGATGCTGGAGATTGAATTCGGGTTGGCCGCATTCAAAGCAAGGTGCCTTAACCGCTGTAATATCACTCTAGCCCCAAGATGGGGACTTTGCGTATAGTCCAAACCACATCAAGGTGGCCAGGGTATGTGAGAAGGACAGGTGGGTGTCAGAGGAGAGCAGAAGGGCCCTGACCCTGGGGGCCTACAGGCTGAGACGATGAGAAGATCATTCTGTGTGGAGCCGTGGGTAGGTGCCAGGAACCCTGAGGTCAAAGTGGTGAGTGTTTGCTTCCTGGTTGTCTCCTCCTCCAGAGAATCAGGTGTCTGAGATGGGGGTGTCACATCGATGCAGGGGTGAGGGCCAGGGCACCCCAGCTCTGTGAGGACCCTCTCGACCTCTGAGTGGTCTGTGATACAAGATAAAGCCTGGCTGTGGGCACTTTGGGCACTGCAGCCACAAGGGGGCATTAGAGTGCATTCTCCTTTTGGATGGGGGCACACACTGGGCAGTGCTCAGGGGTTACTCCTGCACTCAGGAATCACTCTTGGCCGTATTTGGGGGACCATTGGGGATGCTGGGCATAGAACCCAGGTGGACTGCGTGCACAGCCGACACCTGACCCGCTGTACTCTCTCTCTGGCCCCTCATTCTGAGCATGAGTCCTGCCTGGTTCTCCCTAAAGTCCCCGGAGAAGAGTCTCCCCTGTGGCCCCATTTTCCCCTGTCGGCATCTCCTCGGCATCCCACTCGGGGGCAGCTCGTGGCGGGGAGCTCGTGTCCTGCCTCCGTCGGTGCCTCTGGGTTGTGTGGGAGTCTCTGTGCGTCTGGCAGCCTGGGGAGTCCCAAGAGGTGTTGGGGACACAGGGTTCACAGCCTGTCCCTCAGGCCAGTATTTTTTCCCCCCCGGCCACCTGGGTTCCCAGGGAGCAAGAGCGCCAGGGAAGCACCACCCTCAGAACCAGATAGCTCCTCGGGGCCTCAGGGACTTTCTTCCCCGTCTTCCCGCTCATCTCTGCAGACAGGTCCCAGGGATGCGGCTGCACGGCAGGGTCACCCCTTCCCCCGGGAGAGAGTCTCCGGGCCCCGGAAATTCTGTACAGGAGCTTTGTCCTTCCTGTTGGTATTCACGGGGACCTACAGAAAAACTTATCTTGTGCTTTGCTTTATGATCCAGCATGCTCCTGGATCTTCCTGTCACCTTGTTTCAACGCTGTTTCTTGGAGGCTGGTGTAGTTGGTTCCTGTGTGGCTTTGACATTGCCACATGTTGCTTTGTTTCCCCAGTACTGTCCTTATGAGGAAGGAGGGGAGGGTGGTCCGAAGGGCTGACTCCCTTCACGCCGGGCAGGGCCCAGGAGGCCACGTGTGGTGCCGGGGATCAAGCCACGTGCGAGGCCGGGGCCTTCCCAGCCGTGCTCTCACTCCAGCCCCACTTTTCTTTTCTTCCGTGTTTGGCACAGCCAGAGGCTCCGAGCTCATCCTGGGTGTTTCTGTTCCCGGCCTCAGCCTGTGCTTGGAGGAGAGCTCTCTGGGGATCTGAGAAGTGGGGTGGGTTGGGAGTTTGCACTCGGTGCTGGAGGTGATGGCGCCACATGGCTCAGCTGAGAACCGTTTCCGGAAGTTAAAGAAAGAAGTGTTAGGTGGGACCTCGTTTCTCCCCTCCCCTCCTTGCCATTCCCGTGAAGACAGCCCCCCACCTCCGCCCCACACACGCGCACACGCACACACACTTTGTTCCCGGGCTCACGGCCGCGTGGTGTGTGCCTGAGATGGCAGCCTGCGCTGTAGTACGGGATCCCATGCAGCATGTGGGGGGGCTGCCGGGGATGGAGCCAGGGGCTTAGCGCCTGCGCGGCTCCCCCCAAGCCCCCTGCCCTTGTTTCCGAGCCCAGCTGCTGGGTGTGTGACCATGGAGGCCCCAGATGTGTGGGTCCCAGTCCTCCCCCAGGGCCCTGCCTAGTTTGAGGGGCCCCCGCGACCGCGTGGGGGACGTGTCCCGCGGCCAGCTGTGTAGGGAGGCAGAGAGGCCCGGGCAGGGGCAGCGCCGTGGTGGGTGCTGGTGAGCAGAGGCTGGTGATGCCCCAGGCGTGGCCGGCAGCCCGGGAGGGGCGCAGAAGGACAGGCCGAGCCCAGGGCAGGGGGATGAAGGGGCATCACTGCTCACTCCTGGAGTTGGACTGAGCCCCGAGGGGGTGTCAGGATGGGGGCGCGTCATGGCAAGGCTCTCCGGGAGAGGGGGCCCAAGCAGTGTGGGGCTTGGGGTTCTGGGACTGGAGGCAAACGGGGCCTGGCTGGGCTGGGGAGGGGGCTGGGCCAAGCACCCCCTGTTGCTGGGCAAGAGGACTGGTCCCACACTCCTGACCCTGCCGCAACCTCTGTGCCCGCAGGAGGAGGCAGAGAGGAAGGCCCGCGAGGAGCAAGCCCAGCGGGAGCACGAGGAGTACCTGAAGCTGAAGGAGGCCTTCGTGGTGGAGGAGGAGGGTGTGGGCGAGACCATGACGGAGGAGGAGGTGGGCCCTGGCCCCAGCGGCCTTCCTGGCCTTCCCAAGCTCCCAGGCAGGGCGCGGGGAGGGGGTGGCAGGCCCAGCGGCTTCCAGTGACCGCTCGGCAGCCCTCCCCATGGGCTGACCCCTGACCTTGCTACTCTTCCAGTCTAACAGCTTCCTGACGGAGTTCATCAACTATATCAAGGTGAGCGGCTGGGAGGAGGGGGGCATGCGTGCAGGGTGTGTGTGTGTATGCGTGTGTGCGTGTGTGTGTGTGTGTGTGTGTGTGTGTGTGTGTGTAGGGGTGTGTGAGTGTGAGAGAGAGAGAGTATCCTGGGTGTGCCCCCCTGGGCGGGGGGGGGGGAGGATCCAACAGTGGCCCCGGGCCTGTGGGAGGCTCTGCAGTTGCTGCTGGTGGCCCCCTCCTGGCCTGCCACCCTCGGGAGCGACAGCTCAGTGCCGCTCCGTGTGCGAGTCTGCGAGTCCCGCCACACACGTGTGCTGCCAGTACCGTTAGACACGCGGCCCCCTCCACGTGTTCCTGCCTGGGCTCCCGGGTCTGCGGGGGGCGGGGGGTGCCAGGGCCGGGGTGGGGAGGCAGGTGCGGCCCCGTCTGTGTGCAGCGCTGGGCGGGCCGCGCGGCTGCAGCTCCAGGTTGCATAAGCTCGTCCTGCTCAGCTCTGCTGCTAAGCAACTTCTCCCACTTGGAGGGAGGCGCGTGGGGAGAGGCTTGCGAGTGAGGCAGGGAAGGAGTGCAGAGGGAGCGGGGGCGGCGCTGGGGGTGGTCCTCGGGGGTGCCAAGGAGCCGGGGCTTGCATAATCCCCTCCCCGAGGGAGTGGGGTGAGGGCCCCCTCCCCAGACACCAGGAGGGCACCCCTCTGGCGGGTCTGTGCCCCCGCGTGGGGGGCCCCTGGCACCTCCTATGTCCACCCTCGCCTGCCGGCTTTCTGGACCAGAGGGGCACACGACTGCAGCCCGTGTGGCCCGTGTGAGGAGGGGGCAGCGCCGCTCCTGGGTGTCCCGCTCTCCTCTTTATCCCAAAGACATTGATGGCACCTGCGGCCTAGCTGGCCAGGTCTTCCGAAACTCCCCCCCTGGAGGACCCCATGTTCATTAAGGGACTGGCAGGCTAGGTCTCCTGGTGCCAGCTGCTTGGGCATTCTGACCCCGTGCCCTCTGCAGCCGGGAAGGGGGCCCAGCTGCCCCTCCCCCAGCTCAGGTGGTTGGAGGCTCTCGGGAGGGTGGGGGCTCCTGCCGGGTCAGCAGCTTCTCCTGAGGGTGGGGGGAGCATGGGGAGGGCCCTGAGGGGGTCAGCCACGTTATTTCGAGGTCTCGGTGCTGTGGAGGGTATTGGAGTGGTGGGGCTGCCCCACCGGGGCTCCGGCAGACAGCGGTGGAACCCCCCTCACTGAGCTGAGGCCACGCACAGTGGCTGTGTGTCTCTGTGTCCCGCGCCTGTCCACTCCCTCCGAAGCTGGGCTGCCACTCAGGGCGCGTCTTGCTGTCCTCAGGGCCCCTGAGCCCGGGATCGTGGGGTGTTAGTCCCCCACAGCCTCCCAAACACCACTCAGGAGGCCGGGGGTGGGGGAGGGAACCAAAGAGAAGCAGCGGGTGTGGTGGCCCCAGGCGTTCTGTCCCCACTTGTATGTAGGGCGGGGGCTCAGGCAGGCCCCTCCGTGCAGGTGTGGGCACCCGGGTCCTGAGAGGGAGCGTGGAAGGGGGAGCCTCGCGGTGTGTCCAAGGCCCCGGACACAGGGCAGCCCACGCTGAGGGCTCTCTCCCGTCCCTCTCTCCACAGCAGTCCAAGGTCGTGCTCTTAGAAGACTTGGCTTCCCACGTGGGCCTGCGCACCCAGGTACTCCCCCACCTCCCCACCCCAGAACTCCTGTCTTCTCCCTGGTTGGGGGGCGCAGGAAGAACCCCAGCCCCCCTTCCCTTGGCAAGCACCCAGCAGACTTGCCATCCTGGCCATCACTGCCAGGCCTCCCCGCCACTGCACTGCTGGCCAGAGATTGCCTCACGGGGCCTCTCGGAGGAGCAGCAGAGCCCTCCTGGCGGGCAGGGGTGTCTGAGAGGGGGAGCCAGCCACCGTGGTGGTGGGGGGGCATCTCCCATCTCAGCTCTGAGCACACTCCCATCTGTGTCCCCCACCCCCAGGACACCATCAGTCGCATCCAGGACCTGCTGGCTGAGGGCACACTGACAGGTGAGTAGGCGAGGCCTGGCCACCACCACCGCCTGCTGTGGAGGCTGCAGGGGCGGGGGTGACCTCCCCGGGGGCAGTGGTGGCATGTGCCCCCGTCTGGGGACATTCAGAGGCCTGTGTGGGACCCGGGCTGGCCGGGTTCGATCAGGAAGCCTGATTTGACTCACCAAACATGGAGCAGATGCAGCCCGGAAACGCAAGCCGGTGGCGGGGGGTAGCTCGGAGTGGCTGCGAGGGGGAGGTGGGGGGTGCCCTGGGGGACTCATCCCTGCGCTCCCCCGCCCCCCCCCCCCATGTATCCCTGCAGGCGTGATTGACGACCGGGGCAAGTTCATCTACATCACCCCGGAGGAGCTGGCAGCCGTGGCTACCTTCATCCGTCAGCGGGGCCGGGTGTCCATTGCTGAGCTGGCCCAGGCCAGCAACTCCCTCATCTCCTGGGGCCAGGAGACCCCCGCTCAGGTCCCCGCCTGACCCGCCTCGCCGTCCTGGACTCGGGGCTGGTGGGGCCTCCTGGGCCGTGCCTCCCTTCGTCCCGAGACGGGTGTCATGTTCCGGGGCAGGAGGAGATTCTAGATTAAAGGTCTGTGAGCACGGCAGAGCTTGGCGTGGTTTGGCGGGACAGAGGGCTCGCCAAGGGTGAGCGTGGGAGTCCCAGATACTTGAGCAGGTGACATCCAGGCCTCCAGGAGGGCCTCTGGAGGTTAGTAAGTCACATCCTCAGGCAAGGGGAAATGCAGACTGCGCATTTCCTGCACAGCCCCCTGAGCTTGGGGGCGGGGGGTTGAGGGGGCATCACCACCTTGGAGTGGAGGGTTCCGGAGCTTGAGGGAGGACTGAGCTCCCGGCCCTGGGAGTGAGCAGGATGGGCCCATAGAGCCCTTGGGAGCTTCGGCCTCTAGAACGGCAGGACAGGAGGACGCCGGGAGTGAGACGGGCAGGGAAGGGCTGCGCGCAGCTCTGGCCTCGGCTCCTCGCCCGCGGGTAGATGCAGGGACCATATGCTCGGGCGTGGGCAGCAGGTGGGCGATGTGTCTCCCAGAGGGTCAGCCCCGCCGGTTCCCGTGGGCCGTGTTAGAATGTGTATTTTTTTTTTTTTTTTATGTAAGGTGGCCCCGAACACTCGCCAACACCACCTCCCTCGCTGGTGCCTGGGGGAGGAGGCAGCTGGCGGTTCCGGCGGGCACAGGCGGAAGGAAACCGTCAGGTGGCTGGTGCTTTGGGCTGCGGGGCGGGGCCTTCCCCGGCTTGGCAAGGCTGGTTTTGACTCATGGGATGCTGTCAGCGCGGACAGGAGAACCGAAATTCCAAGCATGGTCTGTCTCAGCTGCTACCGCGGGCCCCCCTCCCGGGAAGGCACCTAGAGTGGGCTGGGCCGCGGGCATGTGCTTGGAGGCACCTGCTGGAAGCCCAGCACTGCGGGAGTTAGCAGCGAGTCTCGGGGCAGGAGAGGAGGCGCCTCAGGAGCCCTGGCTCTTGGCCCTGGTGTTCATTCAATAGTCCGGGGAGCGTGTCTGCTGTTCCCCCAACCCAGAGGTGCCAGTGGAGAGAGGGTTCTGCAGCAGTGGAGGATGGTGGGGGCCAGGGGAGAGGCAGGTTGGAAGGTGCCTTTGCACAGAGCAGTTTGATGCTATGGGGTCTCTAGCACTTCGGAAGCTACCATGTGCCCCAGCCCAGCAGCCCAGCCTCAGGGAGTGAAGGCACAGCCCCTCCTCTCATCCCCAGCCTCTGAAGATTGTTTCTGTCCCACAGTCCCGTATCTGTCGCCCTTCGTGCATGATTCAGTGATCAACCCACTGATGGAGACATTTATCCAATAAATCGTTCTTCGAAGAATTAGCGATGAACATTTTTCTAAATAGGTGCAAACCGCTTTTATAGTTAATGAATAAGAAAGCTAGGGGTTTAACCCCTCGCAGTTTTCAGGCATTTAACAATGTTATTTGAGCACTTAAATTGCATCATTAAAATCCCCAAATTTAACTAGAAATTCTTTGAAATGCTTTTCCTCCTTGAAGGCAGGCTAGAGACGTATTGTGAGGAGCTGGAGCAATAGTCTAGCAGGGAGGGTGTTTGCCCTGCATGTCGCCAACCTGGGTTCGATCCCCGGCATCCCATATGGTCCCTTGAGCACTGCCAGGAGTCATTCCTGAGTGCAGAGCCAAGAGTGACACCTGAGCATTTCTGGGTGTGACCTAAAAACAGGACATGATGGATCTGTGTCACGTGACGTTCACTGTGCCCTCTCCAGTTCTGGCCTTTACCTTTGCTCCTATGTTCATGTCATTTTCACTTATTTTTGAGAGTCCAGTTTCCCTTCTGTACCTTCACAGTGACTATCTCGGGTGTCAAGGGTATTATAAGTAGGATAGAGGATGGGGATCCAGAGCCAGCGGTTGGGGCCTCACTGTAACCCTTGGTGTGCCGCCTTTACCCATTTTGCGTCGTTCACTTGCTTCCCTCCTAAACTCCAGACCTTTGACTCCAGCTGATCAGATCGGTTTCAGTTTCTGCAACCCAGGCAGGCTGTGCAATGCTTGCTCTGAGTGCCTTATTGTCCCAGCCTCGTTCTCTGAAGTCTGGAGACCGCCTACTCCTAACCGAGTTAACTCAGTTCATCTTGGTGCAGCCACAACTACCTGGGGGTTCTGGACTACTCTGTGCTAAGGGATCCGAAGGGCTTCAGGGAACCACTTGAGTGCTGGGGATGGAACCTGGGGGGGAGCCCGTGCACGGCAAGTGCCCAATCTGCTGCCCATCTCTCTGGCCTGTTATTTTACTTCTTAACCCTTCACCATCAAGTAGTCATTTGCTTTATCCACTCCTTCCGCTGCTGGAGTCGATACTGCTGGAGGGATGGTAACTCTCGGGCCTTCATGGGTAGACGCTCCAGACGCTTCTGACTCCAGGCACTAGTGACAACTTTTCCACCAAAGTTGTGTTTTTCAAGCTTCTTGGACAGACCTTTAGTAAGAATTCCATCTTACACAAAGGACTCAGTGTAGGCTTGTGATGTAGCTGAAACAGAAGTCTCATCATGCCATCCATTGTTTGTCATCATCTGTTATTTGTCATGCTGGTTGTGCGTGCTGGTATTTATTTGCCTTTGGATTCTGTTTCACTGATGATGTTAACTTAATCTATTTGTAACCCACTAATAGGTCTCAACCTCCAGTTTGAAAATCAGGGTTCTGGGCCTGAGAGTGAGTACAGCAGGGAAGGTGCTTATCTCTCACGTGAGCCAACCGGGTTTGATCCCCAGCATCCCCTCTGGTCCCCCGAGAACTACCAGGAGCGATCCCTGAGTTCAGAGCCAGGAATAAGCCCTGAGCACTGCTAGCCATGGACCAAAAAGTAAAAAGAGAGAGAAAAAAAAAAGCTAGCTTGAGTGGTGACTTATATTTCTTTATATTTTGCACCTAAATACTTTGCAGTGAGGCTTATGCCATTATTGGCCCAGTAATCTGTTTGTAGAAATGTATAAAGTGTCAGTTATATATAGACCTGAATATTGCCACAGAAGGACCCTGGGGGGGACTTAAACTCTTATCCTGTATTTTCTCTCTTTGTTGAAATGTGAATTGACTAAAGAGTAGCAGTGGGGGAGGAGGGGGACAGGTCCAGAGAGAGCACTCAGAATCTCACAAACATGCTTTGCATGAGAAGCCCAAGTTCTGTCCTGGCACCTCGTGATTCTCCCACACAGCACCGAGAGTAGCCCCAAAGCACTGCCAGGTGTGGCCTCAAAACAAAAATAATAGAGGGTGATGTTGGATTTTTCCTTTAACTTTTCTTTTCCATATGTGAGAGAGAACATTCGTCACTCAGATTACAAAACATCTTGCTTTGGGAGCCGGAGCGATAGTATGGTGGGTGGGGCGCTTGCCTTGCACATGGCCAACCTGGGATTCAATCCCAGGCACCCCAGATGGTCCCCCGAGCCCACCAGCAGTGATCCCTGAGCACAGTCAGCAGTAAGCCCAGAATACCCAGGTATGGCCCCAAAACAAAAAATCTTGCTTGTAGAAGACCCATCATACGTGGACCATGAATGCTTCATGGTTTTACATGGGTCTAGCTAAGTCTCGCGACCTTTGTGATCATTCCCAGGATGTTTTGGCCCAATTACAAAGGCTTCTATTTTCTCCCAAAGCAAGTACAAGTCTTTAGTACAAGCACCCAGATTTCAGCCTGGAATAAAGTGACCTGTCTGTTTCTCATTTTGGTGCTTTGGGCCTGAAGAAATAGTACATGACCTAAGACCTTGCATGTGGCTAACTCCACTTTGATCCCTGACACTGCTGTGGATCCCCCAAGCCTAAGCATGGGGACAGAGGTAGCCCCTGAATACCAAAGATATGACACAAAATTAAAATGAACCAAATTTGGTGTTTGGAGGTAAATGCCCAATCAGTGCAAAGAAGAAATCTCAAATACTTTTCCTTGTTTGTACACCGTGCATTTTTTGGTTAGTACATTTATTACTCATGGTAGTATCATTACGGTAGTGTATGTAAGGATACTTTATAAGAGAACTTCCGAAGCATTAATACTGTAACATTAAAGTTATTTAGATAAACTTTTGGCATATAACCTGCTATAAATGAGGCAAAAAATATATATATGGATTTGGGGCCAGAACCATAGTACAGCAGGGAGGGCGCTTGCCTTGCACACAGCTGACCCCAGTTTGATCCCCAGCATCCTATATGGCTCCCTGAGCACCACCAGAAGTATTCCTGAGTATAGAGCCAGGAGTAACCCCTGAACATCCCTGGGTGTGGCCCAAAACACAAAACGGGGGGGAAAAAAAAAGCTGGGTTTTACATAAAAACCCTTTGGCATAAAAATAATCATTGTATAACTGAAACCCAAGCACAAAAATTTGTAAGTCTACAACTGTACCTTAATGGTGTTTCACTAATAAAAATTTAATATATAGGGTGTGTTGAGCTGGAGAGATAGTACAGAGTTACGGCACCTTAGTGTACAGCAACCTGAGTTAGAATCCCTGGCACCGTATATTGTCTCCCTATCCCCAGCACTGCCAGGCGTGGTATCTATCCCCCACCCCCTGCACTGCTGGGTATAGGCTAAAAACAAAAAAGATGTTCTGTGTTTATGGCCCAGAGAGCCAGTACAGCATGTATCGTGTTTGCCTTGCACACACCCAACCTGACTTTGATCTCTAGCACCTTGTAGCCCCCTTCCCTCCCCCCCCCCCCCAGCCCTCCCAGGAGTGATGTCTGAACACAGCCAGGATTAAACCAAAAAAAAAAAAAAACAGAAGCAAAAACAAAATCAAATAAAAAATGTTTAACCTATGCTTGCATTAGTTTTCTGGTGCTGCTGTAACAACCACAAGTTCAGTGATGTAAAACCACACCAGTTTATTTTAGTTCTGTAGGTTGAAGTGAAACATGGGTCTTCTGAGCTAAGAGTGAGGTGACTGTGTTCCTGTGTGGAGGCGTTTTTCCAGCTTGGAGAGACTGCCCACATTCCTTGGCTCCTGGCTCTCTTCCTCCATTTTTTTTTTTTAGGGCGGGGGTAGCACACCCTGCGATGCTCGGAACTTGCTCCTGGCTCTGTGCTCTGGGAT